TGTTGACTACTGTGTAAAACACATAGGCGCACATAAATGCGCTCCAATGCCTAACAAATTAATGGATGGAAAAAGTTTTAAAAATATTTTTTCAACCGAACAAATTTAACTTTATTTGGTCATATGCGTTCCTACGTGTGATGGTGATATGTATGTTCGTTCTTGTTGGTTAATAGGATAAGAGAGTTGTTGTTCTTCCAGAACTTATATATGTGTGTTGCAGTAATTCCAGTTTCAAATTACGTAAACAGTTAACCAAATGAAAAAGTGTGTATGCAAGTGTGAGTACGCTCTACATTCATTTGCACACGACAACAACTTAATAAACTTTAAAATTAGTTTGTTCTTCATTTCATTCATTTCAGTTTTCCCTTTACATGACAGTAAACATGACAACATGATTTTCCATGATTTCATATTCAGCATTTAATTGACATTAATATTCACTGTTGTATCATCACCTCAATTCATATCACTTTATTTATTTGTCTCATTCTTCGTATACAAGAAGCAAAAACAAAAAAAAAACAGAGTAAGCATTAGAATGGTCGAGCGGGAAAGTGAAATTTTTTAAAGATCACTAATGAAGGTGTAGGATCAATTGGACTCAACGTTCTAGGGCGTAATGCATTCACCTAACACACTCTACTTTCATATCTAATAATAGTGAATCTTCCTTCACTTAAGCGCCGTTAGTCGATCTCCTTTCGTTCTTTTTTAGTTTTTGCATGTTTGCCTATCTTCGAATAAGTCAAATAGAAAACGGAATGATACATATGTAGCTAATCTTTTCCATTATGGCGAAGCGAATCATCTGTTGCCGACTCGTTAAATCATTTTTAAGAAGAAGAAGAAGAATAAATTTATATTTCACCTTTGACGCTCGAAAAGCCGGAAAAACAACGACAAAATATAAACAGTTTTTCTAAGAAACGGCGTTATTTCGTTTGTAAGCAATTGTCAAACTGTGATTTCCCTTCAAAGGCAGTAGCTATCCTTCTGACGGGTATGCAATAAAATTTTTCCGGGCTTTGGATAAATTCAGTGTCATGCCCAAAAAGATTAAGGGCGGGAAGCGTTTAATAAGAAAGAAAGTCCTGATTACTTAAGAGAATATCGGAAGTACAAAAAACCATTATATAGATCAAGGCAAATATTGACATCGACAATAGAGCTAAATATCCTTAAAATCCTTTTCTAGAGCATTAGCGAGAAGTAATGTGCTATGAACTGCTCCAGGCATAACTAATGTAATGATGTGCTCCCTTGAGGACAAATCGATTGCAATATGCAAAAAGACACTGTACGTTGACTTAGCATCCAAGCCATTCAGGGGACGTTACTACCATTCAGCTAGAGTGTACTAGCATCGCGTTTCCTACTTCCAGTATGATTGTTTACGTAGCCACTTCCAACAGGAACGACGTCCTGTCATAAAGTTGAGAGCAATGTACAGCTGATGATGGACAATACTGCAAGGAAAACCTTTTCTTACTATTCCCTTGTAATTTGCGTTTTTTTTTATTGAATAAAAAAAAGCGGCGGTCAGGATTTATTTTTATACTTGGCAGTGTTAAGAATGTAGTGGATATCGGCTTAAAAATTATAAAGCAGAAGAGAAAAGACGATAAGTTCAATCGCTTAGAATTGCTGGTCAGCATACGTGTTCAACATTCTGAGTACTGACAAAATGAATATATCCTTGCATGAGAGCATCTATTTATTTGTTGTACAGATGAAAAGTTGTACTTTTAATATGTGTTTCTTTGTGGGTTTGTGTGTGTACTCTATATATATTTACTAACATCTATACGGATTAATAAAATTTTAAAACATTCGTACATTCTTAATGCAACATGTACACGACACAATGTCAAGCATATATTAATGTTAAAATATTGTTTAAATTCATTCTATAACAAAAACTATAAAAATTGAAAAAAGAGAAGAAGAATATTACGTTTTTCGTTATTTTTAAAGTCATTAAAGCATGAGGATCAAGTCTTTATAAGGTCATCTTTACAGACGGTAAAAGTGCTCATAGACAAAGAAAGCCTTCTCTTAGAAATAGCTGTAAAACTTATTTATATATAGTCCGATTGATGGTTTTATGGGTAACGTCACTGTAAATTTTTTTAATACGAAAAAAAAGTATTCTTTTTAATGACTTAAAAAATGTTTTGATAGATGTTTAGCAGAAAATTTTCATCATTTGAAAGGAATCTTTTCTTATGGACAAGCGCTCCGGCAAACCCTATGTGGATCAAAAATATCATTGATACAAAGTTGCAGTCTAATGTCTTACGAGCTGATTGCTACTTCTCAAATACACTGAGGTCCTTCAAGGTCTTTTAGAAAGTAGATTACCTTCATTTGAAGGACTTTTTCAAATAATATCATGTAAAGTGGGAGCAAAGCGAAGCAGAGCGACTGGGCGACTGCCAAGAAATTGAAAGTTTGGCTTAAATATATCGACGATGGTTATGAATTAGGCCACAAAATTACGTATTTTCTTGTTGACTGTCATCTTATTTCGCGAAACGTGCGACTTCGTCTTTGCAAATACGGTAAAAGAGAGACTTTCGAGGAGAGAAGAAGATTATGAAAGGACAGTTTTATGACGATGAGGAGAATTGCAGGCTAAAGAGAAAGGATGATATAAAAGGTTATTACGAGAGCAATACCTGTAACAAGTTTTGAAACTTTGTTTGAAGAAACACGATTTTTCAAAACGCCACGCAACGTACTTCGGACATTTTGGATTCTTTCCTCAAGGCAATTGCCTTCCAAGTCATAGTACACGGTTAGATAACTATATATGAAGACTTCGATTTGCACAGAATCGCTGCCAGTTCGACTATCTAATCTTTATGTTGGCAGTAATTTCATTAATTATCATTGGTTTGTTACTCTGCTCTTTAAAAACTATTCAGATATTCGTTGCTTTTCGTTTATCTTATTCTCTAATTGTAATTGGTCAGTTGCTTTTAGCGCCATTGACACTTGCTGCTAAATGATCATTTGATTCAATCGGATCCACCGTTAACGGTACCATTTTTTCGCCTTTGTGTTTGATACTTTCTTGTCAACACCTATCGTTATTCCTGTCTCTATTCCCAACTACCTCTGCTAATGATAAATGAAAGAGAAATACTTGAAAGCAAAATACTTCTCCGCGAATCATTATTCAATATTCTGGCACTGTTACCTTATCCTCACATATTACGTATTCCTGATTTGGAATGCAAATGTTATAAATGAAAATGTCTATAAAATTAGAACATTTTCTTCTTTTTGCGAACGATTGTAAAATCACTTTTCACATTCATTTTCGTAGTTACACAAATCGCGTCAGCTATTTTATGTGATGGACCTCTACTAACTATAAATAAACAATTACGTAAAAAATTCTGGACAAAAATAAGAACACTTCTGCGAGGCAAATAAACACGAGTAACAATCACTATGTTTGCTTTTCAAAAGGATATGTGTGAAAAGTGTCTCTTTGAGTGGGGAAGAGGTTTTCAAAGCCGTGAAGAAGGAAAATGAGCAAGAACGAGAAAACACATGAAATGAAATGAATTGTTGCTGTTGCTGCCGCTTTTGTTGGCTTATTGTGCTTAAAACTTGTAACGTTTTGATATTTAAAGAGACGGATGCGGGAAAGTAAAGAAAAGGACAATATTGAGTGTTGAGTTGTTAGACGCAAGCCATCGTCATTCTTATAATAAATGTAGTTAAACTAAATGTGTGTTATTACAAAGTTTTCCAAGCATAATAGCGGCGATGATGATGTCATTTATGTATCATTTGCACGGAGAATGAAATTAAATTCCTGTCCACATTTACAAAATTTGCATATGTGTACATCAAAAATTTGTAATGCTATAAAAATGCAAATCATAGAGTGTATATTTACATGTATATATATATATATATATATATATATATATAATAAAAATAATCGTACAAATTAAAAAACATGCAAACGTCCCAAATAAACCAACAAACAACTAACGATTTTTTTTACTATTTAACATATATGCGAATTCTCCCTATATTAATGTTAACCTGTGTTGATGCGACACAAGACGAAATTATCATCGTTATTATAATTGTTAGAACTTATTTACCCTACAGACCATAATAAGAATTTAAATAAAATAAGGCTTTAAATAAAAAAAGAGAAAAGGGCGATATGGGTAGAGCAGCTTTCTCATCAGCATCAAAAGCTTTATACTACAATTTAGTTTTCAATATTTTTTCTAAACATATTTCTTGCCAAAACGCGTAAATTCGTCCTCTTTTCAATAAAACCTCCTTTTATCATCTGATGAGCCGACAGTCCTAAAGAAATTAAGAAAAAAAGAATACAGGAAGAAAGCAAAGTGTCCGTGCAAATATTATGTGTGGTTAGAATATCCATTCAAGACGTTTTTTGTTATTCTAAAGACCGAACGGTTGGATGACAGGGAAAGTATGTCACATAAAACATGCAGATTCAGACAATGGGTGATCCAAAATAATGTATAAATGATAGGAAGTAGGAACCCTATGGTTGGCCACAGCCAACAGCACCCTACAGCTAGTCATATAACAACTTTTCAAAATAAGACGTTGATGTGGGGAGTCAGCAAAAAACTATTCCAATCCGAAGCATTTCGCATAGCGTTCTTCCTTGATGTACCAAATTACATGAAAATATGTCAAAAGTTGCAGATGGTAGTTTGAAGAAAAGAAAACAAGACAGACAAGCTTAAAAAGAAAGCGATTCTAAACTGGTTGGCCTATTTATAAATTGGCTTCCACGTGTTGCATATATCCGCGCAAACCTAATGTACTCTTACACCACAAATCGTATAAGATATAAAAATGGTTTAAGGGACGATGTACGAAAAATATAACGGGTCGACTTGAATTGTCGCAATACAGAATACTTGTAAAAAGGTTATTCGAAATAACAGACCTTTTTCTAACAACGCGATATTCAGGAGTTAATTTCTCTCCATCAGGAAGTGTACTTAAGCCAAGCAACCTGCAGAGCCAGAAACTTAAAAATTGCAATCTGAAAAAACACGATTTTATGCATGAACCAGAAATGAAAATGTATTCCTGCCAACGTTTAACGGATTAGCTATAATACTTATTGATAACAAAATCATAAACCACACGCTTGTTACATCAATCACGCAAGGTCTACGTTCGAACCTATTAAAGCATAGGCGTCACATAAATTTATGAATATTAACAGTAGTAATGGGATCACGAGCGCTGCTGCTTCAGGGATGCCCGCAATTACGCGAAAATACGTGCGACATTACAGAAATTGGCAAGTTGTCCGATCCAATCGATTTTAGATTGAACACAAATAAGTAGACAGACATCAGATAGGTTAAACAAGACAAGGTTAAAGCAAATCAACAAATTATTCTGAACTGATCCATAAAATGAAGACGGGTCTCTATTATTTCGCCCTCCTGGGAAGTACAAATGGTACCCCAAACAAATTAAATATATCCTCTATTAGAAGAGGTATAAGGTATACAAAACTTAATTTTAATAGCTTTAGTTGAACCCAGCTTTTCTAAACCTTTGCTCTTTTTGCTTCTTTTAGGTTTTTCAAACAACATGCATTTTCGCAGTCGATTATTTTGCCAACTTACTGGAGCTATTTTTGTCATGTTAATCGGTCTAATCGGAGCTGAATTATTACCTGATGACAGTAAGTGCAGCTCAAGGTTATATAAATACCATCCAATCCCTTTATTTTACATTCCTACTACGTAAAATTTAAATGCTTCTTATCGATTCTACTTTTTCTTATAGGTGCTCTTAACACTTTTTACGAAAACTTATTGCAACGTGAATACGCTGGACCCGTGATTTTACCTAACCATCAACTTGAACGTAAAGCGCAAAGGTCACCTTCGTTACGTCTTCGTTTTGGAAGACGGAATGATCCGGAATTAATCAGGCAATTACCTATTAAGCGTTGGTTCGGTGATGTCAATCAAAAGCCCATTAGATCACCATCACTACGTTTACGTTTTGGAAGACGTAGCGATCCCTCGATGCCGCTACGTAGCCCTTTGGATATGCTAATAAACGCACGTTTCTCTCAAAATCTTGCTAACGACAATGATTACAATGATTTATTTGGCGGCTATTATCACCGAGTTGTCCGTAAGCCACAACGCTTACGTTTTGGCCGCAGTCTACCCATGAATATAAAAGCGGAGAATTTTAATAATGACATACTCTCGGATGACGAAGAGAAGTTAAACGACGCCGATGAAGTATTGGAAAGCAATAAGGAAAATGATTTTCTCAATACTCTGGTTCACTCGTCTCGGTTAAGGAATTTATTAGAGGCCTTGAGAGAATACGAACACTTTCACGAAGACATTGACGACGAAGGAAATGAAAAGGAATTCCAAGGCGAGGAGAATATGGACGACTTTGAACGAGCTATACGTAAACCAGCGCGTTTAAGATTTGGACGTAGTACAAATAACAATGTGGACACGCAAAGTAAGACAGCACAAAAAAACGAAAACTCAGAGAAGGTAAGCCAAACTGCAAAATCGGACATATTTTTTGTTAAAAATCTTCAAGTGTGTTGTCGTTTCTTCCACAGAAGACAGACAATGGCAGGAAATCTGTGCTTAACGAAAGAAAAGACTAAATGCGCTGCAGTAACGCTATGCTATGACATGTTGGAGTTTCTATAAAGACTCGGCAACACTCGAAACAACATTTACAAGCGGAAGACTATATGGTGGTATTCACGATTCCGAGATCCGGGAATGAGAGAAAAATGATGAGAAGTAAAATAAATAACAACGGAGTAGCCTTAGAATATCCAAAATTTGAATTTTGATATTATTTTCCGATTATTTATTTTATTAGATCAGTTTTATCTCCGAAATATTATTCATAGCACGCTTTTATTTCATTTATAAATTTACTTGTCTATTATTATTTATTTTCTTGATTTGCGACAAGTGAATCAAAGAAGTGAAATTAATTTCTATAGTATTTTATGTAACTCTTTAAATTCTTTGCCCGTTGGCTACTCAAGGATCGTGAATAGCACTAATATATAAATTTTTTTTTTTAATATGAGTAAAATATTTAAAACTAGTTTAATTAACAATAAAAAAAAGCAAAAAAAACAGTTACAAAAACACTTGGCAAAAATAAAAATTAACATACTACACGTTAGTTGTAGCAAAAAATACTTATAAACTTCCCATATATGAATTATATTTAATATAATATTTAAGGAAAGAAAGAAGAAGAACGATTTTGCTTTCAAATAATAATTATTAAATAAAGGCGACCTAACTAAGATAATAACATCGGGCAGAAAGTAAAGAATTTTTCATTCTACGTGCCAAGCACATTATTCCCGCTTAGCACTCAGTTTAGTTATATACATATATATGTCTGTCTGCTTACCTGTCGCACACACACTTCCCAAAGGCCAAAAACACGAAGAGAAGCGAAACGAACAATTTCAAAAGATTGTTGTAAACAACTTGCAAACTATAGCACAAAAAGCGCAAACCAATGTGTGAGTTGGCCTATATTCTAAGGCGAATTAAATGCCCCTCTCTTTTTTCATTATTATTAATCCATGTCATCTCATCGCTGAGAGTTGTCCCCCCACACACGCCTTGCTTGGCTAACTGATATTGTTTCAATAGTGCAGCACTTCGTCATCAACGTCTTGAAACCATAACGGCAGATGCGAGTACAGCTTTATCACGTCCATAACCCACTGACAATGTTTTATCAATATTGCAGAGAAGAACGAGATGCAAGCTATTCTTTTTTATTAGATATGCGCTCTGAACTGGCTACTGGTACCGGTCATATTTGTTACGATTCGCACGATGTCCGCACTTTATCATACTTTCTGAACCTTTTTCCCCTTTCGAATAACATTTGCAAGACGCAATCGTTTCTCGTCATATTACAGTTTGCATCTCTTCCATGATGACCATGATACCACTTATTCGACCAATGCCTGTCATGTCGCCATTATACACCGAAATCGACGCAACAAATGCCGTAACATATGTACGGCGTGACGTTTATATTATGCCCTATGTGGTTTTTGTGGATCATCCTCCACTCCGTTAGATCGATTTATTTTATTTTTTTTTTTTCCCCCTTCCAAAAGAAGCAAGGGAACACAGTGCCCACAATGCATGTTTTAAAATAATTGAAATTGAATTGTACGCGTTAAACTATTCGTATAATTTCTTAAAATTATATAAAATAAAACATTACATTATACAACACATGATTTAAAGCTATTTTACAAGTATTATTCATTTATATATGCAAATCTATATGCAATATAAATACAACATACATTGACAACAAATATCTATTAAAACAATATAATCTGTAAATAAAAATAAATAACGAACAAAAAAAAACAAAAACAAAATAATCGGAAAATCAAAAACAATCGAAATTTTTTATATTCACATAAACCGTTTTAGAAAAAGTTTATGGTAGGCCACGTATGTGCTTCCCCGTTTGCGCGTGAACTCTCGCTCTACTCGCTTTTGCGACAACATATGGCCCGCGGTTTTTTACACCCATCACCGAAGGACGGGGGTAAATTCATTTTGTCAAAACGTTGGCAGCGCCCAGAAGGAAGCATCACACACGCCATAAAGTACATATTTTCTTGATTTAAGCACGTCCGTCCGTCCGTTTGTATTATTATTGTTTTGAAAATAGAAGAAATCAACTACGCCCGCTCCGTATTACAGAGCATAAGAATTTTGTTCTTTCTACGTCTTTTGTCTTTTTTAGAATAACGATGATGGGTGTAAAAGATTCCGTCCCGATCAAATTTAATTTTTTTTGCTTGGTTTTTTTCCGAAAAGAAGAAGAAAAGAACTCAAAAAGAGATAAGTATTTGAACATTACTGTCTGGGAATCCGTTAGCAACAGGACAGCATTTTATTAGCAATTTATTAGTGAGACGTTTCAAGAAATTCAAATTGCGTATCGTTAAGTAGACATGGGAGTAGAGATGGGGAAGTGCTCGCAGCAATAAACTTTTAGTAAATAAATTTAAGCAGGTCGGGTTATAAGCAACTTCTGCTATAAACGAGGAGAGTCTATCTTCATGTCTACCTATCATAAATCATCGGAACAAGCGAGTTTTTACTTTCACTAAATAGATAAAGATCCAATTAATCTTCTAACAACTGGTTTGCATGGGCCATGTTCCATTAAACCGTTGTTTAAATCCTGTCAAATGGAGCGAAAATATGCATATTCGTTATGTGAGACTGGGAACTGGGGAATTTAAACAAGGGAATAGCATTAAGATGATAACTGAAAATATATGCAGTACATACGGTGAAGGCCTTTAAAGACATCCGGCAACTGGAAATTGGTTGGCGAGTTCTGCTTTAGAAAGGCGACGTTAAGGAAAAAATCGATTTCTAAAGTCCTTGCGGCCTTGAAGACGGCCTTTTAAAAACAATATTTGATTTGAGAGCTGTAGCAGAAAAATTGACTACATCGTGAAAAAAATCAACAGCAGCGAGTTGAAGAAGCGATGAGTCCTTAGAAATTATATCCAGAGCGATCAAGGCGTCAAGCGAAGACAAGATCGCCAGAATTTCCTAGTATCGAACAATTCTCAGGTAAAGAATTAAACGCGTCATTAGTACGGCACCGCGAGGGACACTCATGAAAGATTTTCTATATGTAGCCGTCTCACTGCCGTCAATTTGGATATTTTTGTAAGGAAAAAGCCCATATACCGGGTTGCAGAATCTGATTGGCAATCCCCTTGAGAGTGACGATACTTTTACCTGTGACGAAACTATATTAATAACTGACCAAAGACGGATGATGCTGTCGTGAGCAAATTTCGAACGCCTGAGACCAGATTGAAAGTCGTTGACAATATTTTGAGAATCTGAACGGCGTTCTAAACAGGAGCATAATATTCTCTCCTCATAATAGAAACTAATGCTTCTATATGAACTGAGATTTGACGACAATCAGAGCTTATTCTTTAAGGGAACAATTTGAAAGTTACACTAGCGTCAAGGTATGTGATACGTTTTGAAAACCTCGTTATATTGAGATGGCCGTTTCGGATGCCGTTTAAAGGAGACGTGGGGTTAGAAACGTTCAATGCCTTGTTAAACTCAGTGAGTGCAATTGGCTTTAGTCTTATAATGGTCTGTCATATCGCTCATCAAATATTAAACAGAGCGAACCGGTACAAGGGGGACTAGCAAGCAAGATTGTCACAGAATCTGTTTAAGAGTTGCTTGAGTGTTGAATAAGTTGATTTGATTCCTGTAAACAATCTAATACCACTTACCTTAAGCAGACATATAACCATTTGCTAAAATTTTTCCATCTCTTATGTTTCTCCAGTCTGAGCACGTAAATGTATTCCCTTCTAGTGTAAGACGGCATTTTTTGCATATAGTGATAGCAAATCTTAGACGGCTACATTGGCCGTGCTGCTCCACCGAAGACAGAGGGGCGCTATTATTTTGGTGTTCTTTAAAGTGAAGGTAGCAGGGAAAGCGTCAGAGAAAATTTCGAAGCATATACCAAACGATTGTTAGACTGAATGAAATTAGTTACCCTACGGACAGAACTATTAAGGGTAAAAGATTTAAAGTTTTTCGCAACGCGGTTTCGTGCGCTATCACAAAATTTAAAATTCTGATGAAAAGGCTGAATAATTTGTTAGATATTCGATATGTGTACATAAGCTTAGCGTAAGGGAGGTGGAAGTTTCAATACTCTGCTTGTGGAGGACATAACAAACACATTTACCCATAATGAAAAAGAGAGTACAACTTATAAGGGATTAGAAACTACAAGAACGAATGCGAGAGTGACGATTACAAATTTAAAGTTTTTGAAAAAACTAATTATGAAATCTGAAGTAATTTTCATTAAAAGAACAAATTTCAATTTTTATGTTAAGAGTGCAAACTCTCATATCAACAGACATACACTCTCACACTCTATTGCACTAACCAGATAAGAACATCGAGCAGTTAAATAAATAAATCATTCACAGTTTCATGCTGTGATGGCACAATACATTCGCACTTATTTGCACCTATGCATATGTACAGGGACAAGCCACATGGCGATTTTTATACTTCGCAACAGAGCATGCACCTTCATTCATACAAACTGTTATTGTTTTACAAAGAGTTTTCTAATTACATTTGTCATTAACTGTCGTAACGTCGTCTTGAAGTTCGCAATAATCAAAAAGCATTTCGTTATTTATATAATTATGTTACTCATCTTTTCGTTAAGGACAGGCTTAGCTCGTTCAAAGTCGTTAACGAAGTGAAATGCACTCTGTGAAATGCTCGAAAGGAAAAAAATTTAACAACGCCAACAAATCTTCAATTGTTTTATTGTTTGCCGAATGTGGTCGCATTTCAATTTCATAAATAATTTTATTCGTTCACATGGACAGATGAAAAATCATAACAAGCCATTCTCTTTTGATTTCAACAACTAAGCTTAAATATACGTTACATAAGCTATACAATTGAAACGATTATAAGAAATCCAATTCCAATTCAAATACCAGCACTATCTTGCCATCGGAATCGCTGCAAATGATCGAACAAAATGGGCTTACATTCCCCACGACCGTGCTACTTGAACGGAACTCGCCGTAATAGACAAATGCAAGTCTTTTATCGATATTTTCTTCTTCGCTTGAAACGTAAAGAGTGTCTGTTTCATCGGTATTTCCTTTTCCACGCCACTTGAAAATGTATACAGAGGAAGGTTTCTAGCATCATAATCACGGCTTGCGGCAATGACAGTATACTAATTCGCGGATACAGTCGAGTGTGTGGCTTAAAAAGAAGCAGAGCCTAGGGTAGGCCTTGTCTTCACCAAAAAAGCCGCGTCGATATGATGGCTGCGTCATGTTGTTTTCCCGCGCTATTCTCCCATGGGTTAAAAGTACTCCTGACAGCCGTGGGATGACAAAATATTCACTCCGAACGTGATGCGATGATCTTGGAGTTAAAACTTCGTAAATAGGTATTTACATTATAACCCGGGCGATATCTGCCAGTCCTACGAATTTTTAGTATACCCTCGTTCTTGTCTACTCTCCTTTTGTTTACTACGGATTGAAATAAATATTAAAATATTCGATAAGAAAATCTATGTAATGAAATGTATAAGATTGCGTCAAAAACAAGTAAAAAAATTAAGTTCAGTCGAGACCGAATCTTTTATACCCATCATGAGTTCCCCTAAAAAAAGACAAAAGAAGTCAAAGAACAAAATTCTCATGTTCTATAATATGGAGTTTACACAGTTGATTTCTTCTATTTTTACAATAGAAGCTTTTGCCGTAGACACAGGTGGGCGTTGTCAGCGCGTCTTTTGAAATGTTTAGGGCAATTTCAAATTCTTTTGCAAATTTGTAGGCATATCTTCATTTTTGGTAAAGGGAGAAAATTTACCACAAATGCTATAAACTTGCGCAAACAATCACACAGGCGAACACCCGAACAGGTTTAGATACATTCAAAATTTGAAACTGGCCATAAATTTGTGCACAGGGATTTTTGAAACTTGTTTGTGTGTATTACAAAGGTGTTGAAAAAATAATTAAATTTTGATACATTATAAAATTGGGTAGACGCGATCAATTTTTTCTATTATGGTACAAAAGTGCTACAGCAGCGCCCATAGAATATGCATTCAAATTTTTGTACATTTATTTGGTATAGTTTATGATTAATGAGCAAAAAACCAATTTATCATTCCTTTCGAGAATAGAGTTCTTCTCAGTTTACCTGGTGCTGTGAGCGTGTCCTTCAACCGATTTGACCTATTTTCAACAGCAACCTGCGTGCAAGAACTTCCAATATTTCTGCCAAATTTAAAGTCGATAGCTTCATATTCGCGGCCAAAAGAATGTTTACCGCAGGGGGGGACAGATGGTCATACGCATATGCTTAAATCGATTTAAAATTTGATGGTGATCAAGAATGTATATACATTGTGTGGTCGCTGATGTTTCCTTCTGGGCGTTGCAAACGTTTGACAAAATGAATTCACCCCCCGTCCTTCGGTGATGAGTATAATAACGAACTTGAAAAAACTTGCTCTAAAATTTGCGATGTCAGCCCTGACACAGACAATAATAAAGAAAGAATACAGATGTCTCTAGGTGCTTAACATGGATACCTGCCGTGTTTAACGCCACGCTCCCCGATGGCACACGGAGTGTGGGAACGTACACTGAACGCCCCGAGAAAAACCTCGAGTTCCAGTGAAGAAACGTATATAAGCGTATCTCCTCCCTGGTGAGGGCGAGGCACTATCTAAAACCTCTCTCTTTCTTTAGGTCAGACACCCGATTACCATGCAACTCCACACCGAGCCGAGGCTCTTCCCGCGGTTTGGGCTAAGCCCAGCGACCACGAAACTCCCGCAATGGCCGTTCCCGTTGACAGGCCGAAACTAGAAGATTGCTTCGGGGACTCCTCACACAAGTGGTACTGGATATAAAGAAAAAAAATAGGTAATGAAAGAAGAATAAGAAAGCCTCCAGTTAGACTTAACAGAAGAAAGAAAGAGTACAGCAAAATCAAGGGCAGCAGGTACTAAAACTCTTTGTTTTTGTAGTAAAGGCAAGAAATTGACTTTCTTCACACACTCCATAACAAGCCGACAAATTGAAAAAACGGACAATGCACGAAGATTAATTGGTGAAGCGGCAAGACGTAGAAGAGAAAATCGAAAACGCTGCATAATAGTTCCCCAACATAAGTTGATCATCTCAAATGAGCCGAAAAGTGTGACAAATCGATTAAAAAGTGCCTGGAAATGGAAATCCTGGAAAATGTATTAAAAAATAAATGCCCTTTGAACCATTGCTCCCTGTTACTTTGTTAGTCTACGAAGCTTTCGTAGTAAGCTTTTACTTAAAATAAATAAATATTAATTCGAAATTTGCTTCCAATGTTCAATATGGCGGGAAGTGAAAATCAGTGCAATCAGTCAGCACATCTCTTATTATCGAAAAAACAGTTAATGAAATACAAGATTTGCTTTAAGGCGCATATGGTTTTTCTACATCGTCTTTTTCATTCATCGTTGAAAGATTGGATTACGCTGGGGATTGCTTTTAGTTTACAACACCTACGAATCAGAAAACCCATTTGACGGGTACATAATAAGCTTCCGAATAGATTTATCGTTTCGTCTATTCCTTCATTCGTCTGTCTATCATGTTTGGTGTTGTTGTTGTTGTTATTGTTATTCTTAACGTTAGCAAGAAAAACGAAAAAGGGTGAAATTTCACACATAGGGATTAAGGATGAAATTCAACACGTAGCATATGTAAGTAATTCGAAAATTTTCTGGAAATTTTGTTACCCCTCCTCCTTTACATATATTCCTTTATTGTTTATAGCCCAAGCACGTTTGCATTAAGTATAGATTAAGTTTGTGCAGAACTTAAAACATATTTATATTCTTCATATTCATATGCTTTAATAAAGCGAACCAACTAGGAACCATTTTCTATGTTGATTTTAGCATTTCCCAGCGCCTACCCGTTCAATGTCTATCGTGTTATTTTTGTGATCAATCTACAGATCGCGATTTTCAAGATGTTTGCATGAAATACAACGACAGGTATTAAAAACCAAAGGCGAACCCTTTTGGAAACGAACTGGATTGGATGGATTTTATGCTCCTTACACATATAAATCCGTATTTTTAAAAAGTGATTATAAAATTGTTTAAAGTATTTAAAGATCGGCTTTGACCCCCTATAACATTCTTTTAAAATATTTATTATTTATTTAACTTCTGCAAGCCTGATTCGAGGCGACAAATAAAAACAATTCTACGCGAACGTTAGGAAAATGCTGCGATAACAAATTTTCGTTATCATAGCAGTTCACTTTCTCTACAATCAATCCCTGAGAAGCAAATCATTTTTTCGCTCAAAAATTAAAACATGAGCTCGTGTTTGCTGCTCGTCGAATAAAACAAAGAACTGGCATACCATTTGGGATGGAAAATATAGTGTATGAACTCATACGGACGAATGTAGAAGATTTTAAAGCACACATATCATTGTGCCGGTTGATTAAGAAAACGATTCAACCTGCATTTCACCCTGACTATTTTCGGCCAGGAACGAGGCGGTATAAATAGCAGCATACCCTAGTCTTTTATAGGCGAAGAATAATACATACACGGACAAGAAAGTTAACTTTGTCAAATTTGAACCAAGTCAGTTCGAGTTTGGAGGCGCTTCGGAATAATGTGCCTGTATATGAGAATATGATATATTTGGGTATCGGGAGATGAACGAAAATAATTAAGAAATCTTATTAAGCAAAATATCCTTGATAAATTTTCAGATTACAATTTCGTGGTCAAAATCGAGAAGTTGATAAATTCTTAAAAATACTCGAATATTGCCACACAAATCCACTTCTGTGTTTCATATTCAACCAAAACGATTGTAAAAAGTCTCTGAACAACAAAGGATTTCTTTCTTAGTTGAATTTTTTTCACTGTTTTCGAAATTTCTTTATGATTGACTCTCGCATTTTTGAATTTTCGATCGAGAAAAAAATGTTGTTTCCGCCAAGAGGAAAAAGATTTAAATGGATTTATGGTGGAAAATTCTTAGCGATAAAAGGAGAAATATACCAATAATTCATAAAGAATCTTTAATTTATTCTAATACTTTGCAAAATTTTATACAAAATAAAATTTAAAACGAAAAGAAAAAAATTCTCTTTTATAAAATACTGCAAATTTTTTAAATAATAAAAAATTTATAAAAAGAAACAATAAAATTGATAAAAGTTCTGAAGCATCATGTCCGGAAAAGTTTTTAAAACAATTCCAGAAATTCATATTTCTTTGAAAAAACGTTAATTATTTGATTTAAAAAATATTAAATCTAGAATTAGTAGGGATGTCTATGGCCGTTGTAAAAGAAGGTCAATGAGAAAGAAAGATAGAAAAGTGCTGCGTACTTATGCATTTGAAAGAATTAGCTCGGAAGGAACTACCCGACCACCTTGCGTATTTTGAAATCTGTAAGATCGTCCTGAGGTATCAGACGTAAATCATATTCATTAGCTAGATGTAGAACTGAATAGAAAGCTATAGAAGTAGAAAGAGCTTCCGACATATTTTTTGTCAATAATTGCGGGAGGTTTGCATAAATCTCATTAAAACTGGCTAAACCATCTTCATAGCACTCGTTTTTAAGCATTGGATGATGAGGTATGTCCTCTTCATTTATCGTTCTCTTCAATTGTTTGTTGAGCAATGTGGAACAACTGCGTTTAAGATTCTTCATGTCGATGACTTTTGCTCGGCGAGCAAAAGGCACTACAATTCTGGTTACTTGCGTGGGGGCGCCTTCGAAATTGTTGGCAATTTCTAGTATTGTGGAATTGTGTGAATTATTTTCAGCAGGTCTTATTTCAGGAGAGGTACTTAAATCATCGTGACCAACCAAAACGCTGTTACAAGCCAAATTTTCAACACCATCATGATCCATTTCGTGATCAGCAAAGTGATCATCTATTGCTTGAACATTGTCCACCATTCCATTAAGTAAACCATTTTCGCTAGAATCGATGACGTCTTGTAACGTAGACCTATGCGTAGAGTTTGCCAATATCGCTAAGCCAGGAGCAAGTGTAAAATATGAGAAACGGTCGCTATTCAACTGCAAGTCGACCGGCAATTTCAGTTTTTTGTGATCCCATTTTTTTTGTATGTTTGCTTTACGGTCCTTAAACTTTTGATCTAAAGGTATAAAGCCCTCTTCTTCAGATTGATCAAATTTTAACTGCTTAGCTTTCTTTCTATCCAAAGCTTGACGTTGACGAGGGCCCCGACGATTTAAAACACGTCCCACTACTACTTCACTGGAACGACGATTGCGTATCCTTTTGAACTTCCAATGCGAAGGTCCGGCCCAAAATTGAGAAATCTTATCCATAGGTCTGTAAGAATACTCCAATTTCGAATTAGCGTCAACGGGACGCAAATCCTCAATAACAACAGGAACCTTGCGCAGACCGCGGCAATTGTTAATAGCAGTACGATCCTCTGCAGACAAAGAAAAAATTAACATAATTAATCCATGATTTAAATATATTTCATAGTCTAACCTATAGTTAAATCATCGAACTCATTATAATCCACATCCACGATAGGCATTTGTTCCGTAAGAATAGGCATGGGTTCACATTCAGCATTTATATCAAACGCCATGGACATTTCATGGAGATTACCAAATGGCGAATTTACCGTTTCAATTTCTCTGCCACCTGTCTCTTGCGGAGGAGATGGTATATCTTCATCCACAGTATGTCGCGTACTTAAATTCTGTTCCTTGTCCTCCGCTGTTGGCTCTGGCATGTCGGTGATAATATAACCGTCGTGCAATGGCCGTAATTTGAAATTTTCCAAGTTTTGCATTTTAAACAAACTATCGCATGGAAAGAACTCATTTTCATTATTAGTTTGCAATGAAATCTCTTCTGTGTAGTCAGCAGGCGGCAAAGCTGCTTTATCCCAAATGGCGAACGTAGTGCGTAATCTTAGTTCAGAGTCCGTTGTCAATAAAATATTGTTCATTAGACGTGTCGAAGAATTTATCGAGCCAACAACCGAATTCAGTTTACCAAACACTGGATCTTGCAGTGGTACTGTATCTAGACGAGCATTTAAAGTTTCCTTATTTTTCGTTACCATACATGCAGCCTTGCGCTGACGTTTATTTTTCGTTTTTTTCGCATTTTCGGCATTTACCTCTGCACCCGCAGCACTAGCGACGGGGTCATTACCTCCTTCACCACCTGTGGCGACAGTGTCATTATCGTCGTCATCATCAGCATTTTCTAATTGTTTTTCACTAAACTTTTGAGCATTCAAACCAGCCGACATACGCAAAACATCCGAGTGTATAGAGTCAACGCGCAGACTGTAAACTTTAGAAGAAGCTTCTAACGAACTCCCAGCTACCTATTGATACGACACAGAAATACACAAAATTTGATTCCCGCCTGCTTGCTTATATTTACTCTCTTTGCAGACGCACCTTAAAATTGCTAAAAGTTTTGTGATGTCTGTCCAATAATGTCGATAATGTATCTATCAGGGAGACAGACCAAGCATTTTCACGACTTAATTTGTTATTGTTATAGATTTCCAGATATTTTTGTAACGTTTCATTATCCTCGAATGCTGAAGTTGATGGTTCTACGTTTCCCTCCTCTCTAGAAATCAGCGTACGCCTTCTAGCCTCCCTCCGTTCCTCCGCGTCATCATTAACAGACGCATTGCGATTAGATTCCCGGCATAAACTAACATCGGATCGTCGCAATGGAGAATCTGTATGAGCTGGAGTCATAATCTAAAAATGTATTTGAATTTTTTATTTTTAATATCGTTTGCTTTCATATGTCTAAATAACAAGCGTTCGCACATAAATCTTATTTGATAAATTACTCACTAAATTCATTAAATTTTGAATTTCGCTAATTTTTTTCTCTTTGAATTTTATTTTACTTTGCTTTTTATTTTTTATATTCGACAACTATATCTTCCTGTTTTTCTTTCCGTTTTACTTTCTTTCTTTTTTCGTCAATTGTTATTGCTGTACATACGCTTGTTTTGTAATGTCATACTTCATATTGTTTGTTATTGTTAGTTAATTTCAGTTGTTTTCAAATAAACCAAGGTAACCATATCCCCGTGAATCAACATAACTTTCGTCAAGGGAATAATCTCGTTTGCAAAATCTCAAACCGATTTCCGAAATGCGATGCATGTAGTATTACCCCTTAGATGGATCAACGTTTCGCTTGTACGTTTAATCCTCGTTGTTTACTTTTACATCAGAAATTATTGAATGGTGTTAACGTTTGCTTTAAAACATGAACATCTGCGCTTACGTAGTCAAAACATTTTCTTGTCCAGTAAACTACAATACTGAAATTCAGGAATTTTCTCAATATGTTCCCAAAAATGGTAGCTCACCAATTGACTGAATCAAAACAAATAGACGTGTTGCAGAGCTTAGCGGAAAATATTATTAGATTGACTAATTCCAAAGGAGAAGCTTCAATGTTGAACTTGCACTTAGGCGCGTTATCTCAGGAGAACGCAAAAGGTTGAAATCATTAAAAAGATCTAGTCATGATCTGAAACGCTTTACAATAATTTCATGTGATCGGGGACAGCCACTTTTCCATTTCATTTTTTCTTTGTCCAATGGTCATATATTTAAAAATTGCTATTTTCGCATTATAGAACCCGTCAGTTATTCTTTGGAAAAAGAACTTGACTTGACTTGAGTTATAAAATTTGGCGCTCTAAATTTATTAGATTTCTGATTAAAACCGTTATGTGCAAATTTGTTTGTTAAATTCGTAGTCTAAAATTTAAGAAATTTTTGCGCAGCACTTTTAGAAGCCAATGACCTAATTAAATTATGCTATACTTCGCTGTTTAATTTTGATATTCGACCGTTACGTTTTCCAGTTTTTCCCTTTCGTTTGCCAGCTTTGTAACGGTTCTAAACGTTGGCCTTACATTCTTCACTAAATTTGTAACTAAATAACTAACGTGCAGATTTCTTTCTTAACTAGATATTCAGTTAAATTTAAATTTAACTAATGGAAAAACTCCTTCACATGATTTTTGCAAATAAATTAGCTTAAGCGCACAAGGAAATAAAACAAGCCATCGCACCTGCATAGGGATCATTTTTTTAAACAAATTTTAAATACCATGAATGGCATCTATGTACATTTAAGAAAATTTTTCCCGCGAGGAATTAATGTGATAAAACTATTCTTGCGTCACCAATTTAACTTAACTTGACCTTGTAAACTAGTAAATTTGGCCACACTTTATCCACTTGTTGTTTACGTCTTCGGTACAGTTGCCAGCTTTACGCCCCAATACTACTTAATTTTAGCAAATTATCTCTCTCTTTCAGTTCAGTTAGACAAAACTACCAGGGATTATTTCTCATACATACCCAACTATTTCTCACTTTCAGTTCAGTTTGACAAAACTACCAGGGATTATTTCTCATGCATACGCAATTATTTCTCTACGTTAACGTTGCTTTTATACATATATAGTAACAGCAGAATATAAAAAAAAGAAACAACAAATTATAGAAAATTTCAAAATCAGCTGTCTCCGTACAGCCTCCTCTCATTTCCAGGATTTTTTAATTAGTTTTTATTAGAACGGGAAAATTATGTATAAAAATATTGTAATTGTATGTATTATTTGCTTTATAAAAAAATGTAATTGTATGTTTATGTATAATTATATACATCAACTTCCTTTTTACTACAGAGTTTGTTTTTCGCTTTCGTATTGTGGATGCCGACAGCCGGTAATAAATTACATATCAAAACAAATGCGATTGAAGACATTATTGAACTCAAAGATTTTAAGAAGTTACTGCGCACCAAAACCAACGTTTTAGTTTTATTTACAGTCAGCCTCAAACAGACTGCCGAACATATAAAAATATTTAAAGAGGTATCAGCCGAAGTTCGTGGAACAGGCAGCATGGTTATAATCGATTGCGCCGAAAAGAAAAAGCTTTGCAAAAAATTAAAAGTTGCCCCCGATCCTTTAGTTTTGAAACACTTTAAAGATGGAGAATATCACAAAGACTACGATCGGCAAATATCGTTGAATTCAATGGTGAATTTCATGCGAGATCCTACCGGGGATTTGCCATGGGAAGAGGACCCTCTGGGCAAAGATGTTCTACACTTTCCAGATTATCTTGCATTTATGAAGCATTTGAAAAGAAATTTAAAACCTTTACTTATAATGCTTTATGTGCCATGGTGCGGTTTTTGTAAACGTTTGCGACCGGAATTCTCCAAAGCAGCAACAGAATTAAAATCCGAGGGTTATGTTCTAGGAGCTATGGATGTGGAGAGGAAAGAAAATACTTTAGCCAGAAAAGTATTTAATTTAACCGGTACGTAAGTATGTAAAAATACTGGGATATTTAATTTTAACTTGCTATGCTACATCTCATAGGTTTTCCCACGCTTATCTACTTTGAAAACGGCCAATTGAAACAACACTACGAAGGCGAGAATAACAAAGAAGCAATCGTAGCTTTTATGCACGATCCAGCTTCAGTACCTCTAAAGCAGAATAAAGAATTTGATTGGTCGTCCGATACTAACTCGGAAATTGTCCATTTAACTAGACAGGGCTTTGAACCGGCCCTTAAAGATGAAAAGTCCGTTTTAGTCATGTTCTATGCTCCATGGTGTGGCCATTGTAAGCGTTTAAAACCCGAATATGAGAAGGCGGCTATAGAAATGAAAAACAAAAAGATTCCCGGTATTTTAGCTGCACTGGATGTCACAAGAGAAACTTCTATTGCCGAACAATTTAAAGTAAAAGGTTATCCCACTTTAAAGTACTTTGTTAATGCTCAATACAAATATGATGTGCATATGAGAGAAGCCGAAAAACTTGTAGAATTCATGAAAGACCCTAAAGAGCCACCACCTCCTCCGCCGCCTGAAACGCCATGGCAAGAAGAAGATACAAACGTAATTTTTCTAAGTGATCAAACTTTCAATTCTACTTTAAAACGCAAAAAACATGCCCTTGTCATGTTTTATGCCCCTTGTAAGTATAGCATCACTTCAATATTGAATCTTAGCCATCTTGGCCCTAACTTTGTTAAATAGAAGATCAATGGCGAATAATTTTCGTTCAGTTAATTTAGTAAATATAAAATTCACTTGCGCCCCTTACTTTTTTCAAATATGTTTACCAAGTATACGTATCAAGTTTCTATTCTTGTCTTGAAAATATTAAAAGTAAAAGGCCAAGGTATGTGCAAATTTTAATTTTCATGTAATCATTTCAGGGTGTGGCCACTGTAAAAATACCAGGCCTGAATTTAATGCCGCCGCCAATGTCATGAGAGAAGAGTCGCGCATAGTATTCGCTGCAGTTGACTGCACACGTGATACTAATGTTTGTTCCAGTCAAGGGGTTCGCGGCTATCCTACGTTAAAATATTTTTCATATCTCAAAGTGAAAGTTGATTATCATGGCGGACGTAAACGTGAAGATTTTATAGCTTTTTTAAAAAATGCTAGCGAATCTTCAAAATCGAACCAAAAGCAAATTCACGAAGAATTGTGATATGAGTAATATATACATATGTTGTTTTATTTTTACCCGCGTAGTATTTCTGCGCTATCTATACGATGCTCGTGAGTATTGGGCAAAGTATGTCGTCATAAAGTATTAAATATTCACAAATTGCGTAGTCCTTTACTTATATTTTACTAAAATAGTGAGCAAATATATAGACGCTTGGTGTGCAAAAGGGGCGAACCCTCAAGATGAAAACTGATAAGCTATGAGGATTGCTGGTATTGAGAGTTACTACGCTAAAAAAAAAATGTAGAGTTTAAAAAACATCGAAGAACTGCAAGTTTGGTTAACTCAGAAAGCACGGATTCGAAGTTTAGATATTTTTCGGGCACTGCGTCACCTAAAGCACAACTCTCAAAAATATTATAAATTAATTTAAGAACTTCCTACCTATACTTTTATTGACTTGCCTGAGCGTAGAGGGAACTACTTTTTGATTACTTCCAAACGTTAAATAATGGATAAAAATAAATGTTGGGAAAACTGAATACGTAAAGCGTGCTTATATTAGAATTATAAGCTTTATTACTATTACTATTTTTATATATATTACTATTCTTCCCCCTTATCGCTTGCCGCCTATGCGAGGTGCTGCCTTCTGAGTTACTTTGGCAGCCTTTTGTTTGGGTGGAGCCTTTTGCTTAGGCTGTGCAGGCTGCGTAGCCTTCTTGGCAGCCTTGGCTGCACGTTTTTGCTCCTTGGCAGCTTTAATAGCTTGTTCACGTTGAGCTCGGCGCACTTCAGGCTTCATATTACGTTTAGCCATGATCTCAGCTAATGAAGCGCCAACAATAGCTCGTTGAAATTTTTGTGTTCGACGCGTACGTTTTTTCGTCGCTTCCTCTTCAACACCTTTACGATGTTTGCGACGATACAACACCGTCCACGTCACCTTGCGGGGATTTCGCTTCATTAAGTAAGATCGCTCGCATTTTTTATCCAGAAAAGTAAAAGTCTGCAATTTGAAGCACAAAAGATTTCCTTCGCTTTCTATTTAAATTTGAAAAAGCACTCACTTTCCCATCAATTTTGACCATAGTTTTGCCATGGCCGGGATATATTTTGTACCCGCTAAACGAACACAAACCAATTCTTTACAAAGAAAGAAAAAAAAAACATTCTTCATTAGTTTACTTTCATGTTAAAAAATTTTTTAACTGTTATCATATTTTGATTGCAGGCCATATTAATTTTTCCAATTTAAAAAGCGATGTTTCTAATATTTAAAGATTTTTTTTCGTCAATTTTTAATAATAACACGTACTTCATCTTGCAGCTGTTGTTGATAGAAAGAAAAGGAAGTAGAAAGATTTTTGACAAATGTCACTTTTACGGAGGAGATCTCTACGAGGCGAATGTAATACTAATTTCCATATTACTGTTATCGATTTTCGTTTTTACTTGGAAATTTGTTAGCAGCACTGACATTGTTATCGTGAAATTTTGTTTGTGGTGGTTGCTTTCCATTTATAGTTGTTTTTTTCTTATAAATACAACTCGGAATATTCAAATTAACGCAAAACCTAAGTTATTTAGAAATCGCTGATTTGCACGCTAGAAGAGACTCATATAAAAGCGTAAAGCTAAAAATACGAAATGCATCTTGTCTAAAGCCACTGCAAGCCTTTTAAAAAATTTGTATTTTTGTAAAAAATAGAATAGATAGAATAGAAGTTCCTTATTATTCGACGTACCTCATAGGCCGATTTTGTTGATGTTACACTTGGCTCTCTAAGACAAAACAGTAATATTGTAAAAGAACGTGGCCACGTAGTGGTAGATGGTATTTCTTACCCACTTTGTTACAATCGACTAAACATTTCATTTAGTACGAGGATGTCAAAAATGAGAGCGGAAACAATGTTTTTGATCATTTTATCTATTTTATAGTATTATATTTGTATATGCAGCAGTTTTGGGACGTTTTTCACGTACATATGGAGGTCAAAACGCGTTTTTCTTTTTAGGCGTAATTTAGGAGTTGAAACATACGGAAATTTTGCAGTTTCTGCTATTCACTCCGATTAAGAATACTTACGTATATCTTACATGGTTTTTTAGGTATATTTTTATTTATATCAGCATTTGTCAAAAAAATATATAGACTTAAAGTCAGTAAAGCTGGCAGCCCCATCTTCTTCTTTTTCTCCTCTGACATTTTGTTTTGCTTGTGGAAGGATTTGTGCAGGTTTAAATAAAGAACAATTAAAATAAAAACATTTAAGTAGGCGACATTTTTCAGTTTTTTACTATCCAATTTAAATTATACAGCATAATTTTTAAGAGAGCGTCAATTTCATATTTACAATACAATAAGACATGATGCAAGAATGCGTCGCAAATCCCGCAAAAACAACATCTAAAAAAAAGGTAGTACTACCATTCAAATTGGAAGAAACGAAGGAAACAGAATTTTGATTTTAGGTTATGCATCATGACGATTTTATGAAACGCGTACGAAAATCTCTATATTTTGGTTATGATTTATATGACGAAGATGCTTTAGAAATATCTAAACCACTTGCTGAATACGCCAGCGAGCTCTTTTCGAACTCGCACCGAGGTCACACTTTAAATCGTTTAAGTTATGTAGACGCCTCAAGCGTGCAACAAGCTACACCAGCGGCGTTAATTATGGCCTTAATTTATTTGGACCGTTTGAACGTAACAGATCCGAGTTACGTCAGACGTATTACTCCTCATGAGCTGTTTATTGTCTCTATGGTAAACGATATTTATTTTCCCAGTTAATTTTATTGTTGTTTTGCGCTTATGAGAGTTACTTAAAAACTTTTTTCAAACCAACAGTCGAAAAAAAGAAAAAATGAAGGAAAGACCTTTGTTTCTTTCAGATGATTTCAACGAAATTCTATATTGGTCATGATGAAGAAATCTATTTATCTGATTGGGCTGATGACGGCAATATCTCTGAGAATCATCTAAAACAATTGGAATTGGAATTTTTATGTGCCATTGTAAGTTTTGATATGATAAGTAATTTAGGACAAAGGAATTGCAGTCGCGATTTCGACTGCAATTTCTGCTTGCGATAGATCTGGTCTAATGATTATCGCGAGATAAGTGAGAATTTGGTTTGGGATAGAAAAAGGCAGTAACTTTCTCATTTATAGTGGGGTTAACTAGAAGAAAAAGTGTAAAAGAAATTGAAAAAAATGCATTTAAAGCAGTTTAATAAAAAGTTTTAAGAAGCCAAGATTTTCCGCCCAAAGACACCGAAGATACTTTAGGATGAGCTTTTTTATAGCTTCTACTTTTAAAATTTTTAGCTAAAAGATTTAAATTTTTTTATATATTGCTGATTAAATATGGACATTTCAAAGGATTGGAATATCTACATATCGAATGAACAATTTTTTGACAAATTAACTAAGGTGGAGAAAACGTTGGCTCGTAGAGAAGGCTTACGTCGTGGTTGGTTAACTTATTCGGAATTAATGCAAATGTTACCGTCGTTTACATTGGCAAAATTCTTGCTTAATAATGTGACGATTATGGCAGTAAGTTACGCTGCTAGTGTTATGACTATAGCGGGGGCATTTTTCTTGGCCAGTCAGATACCCGGGACATCATTGCATCGTAAGCCGAACGTGTTCAATGACGCTACGATTGCCAATAGCAATCTAAAAAACACCGAAATGGAAAATACCAATGCTAAAATGAATTCATCTGTTTCTATAATGAATCCTATGGGAAACCAGATTAATCATACTAACCAATTGAGTCTTCGCATTGCAAATGAATTTGCCACTTTAGAACGACAATATCGTGACGAAAGTGTACATGAATCTCTACAAAAAAAGCAGCGAGAAATCGCCACCGAATCACATTTACCGTTACCCCAACAACTGCTTTTGATCGAACTGAACATGAATGAAAGATGTGGCAAACATGGCAAGAGTCAACAACAGCAAGATCACTGGTTTGCGCATAAGGAAGAATACAGTGATTATTGTAAATTTTTCATGAATCAACTGCCAGTTGACGGAACTCGACAATCAATAAAGAAAAATGATGATAAAACGAATTTTGACGGTTACAAATTTCAAACATTAAACAAAAAACGTAATAATTCCTCGAGTGTGTCCTTATTGTGGCATTTTTTCGCGAACACCATACAGCAAGGTACCTTAATGCGTCTACCCCTTTTGTGGTTAAAGTTTATGTAAAACAGAAAACATTTTTCTTTTTGAAATTTTATCTCTGTAAAAGATTTTTAAATTACATTATTACATTAATTTTAAAACTAACAAAAATAAACCTGATCTTTTTTACACATGTACACATACCCTTAAGAACAAGCAAGGATATACATTTGCCTCAATAAATGCTAAACTTTATTTAATAGCAAGAAAAAAATTCTCCCGACTTGAGGATGCTTTGTATTATTAAAGTTGTTTCCCACATAACGCCGAAAATCTAGAATTCATTTGTAATAGAATGTTTTAAAGCCCAACATTATCAATTGGATTAAATATTGATCGAGTTTTTTAATGCACAAAATTTTTGTACAGTAGCACAACCTTCACATTAAAACTTGGATTCGATTTTGTTAACTTTTTTATTCTCATTACCAAAGAAGGAGGGTATGCTCCTGTATCTTTTGCAAGATACAGGAGCAAACATTAGAGATCTCACATAGTATATACATTCTTGCTCAGCGTCAAATTCTAAGCATATCCGTCTGTCCGTCTGTGTAATGTCTATTGTACATATTCTTCTGAAAATTCTTGCACTCAGGTTATTATTGAGAATGGGCCAATTCGGTCGAAGGACGCGCGTGGTAAACATCCTCCCGTTAGTGAAAACGAAGATATCGCCTACAAATAAACTTTTCCGCGAACACGCAAACAACGCTCACAGGCCTCTACGACAAAAACCTCTCTTTTGAAAACTGCGCCCACTCCATAACAAACATAATATAGGACATGTTCTTTTACTTTTTTTGTCTTTGCTATTGATGGGTATAAAAGATTCGGTCTCGACCGAATTTAATTTTCCTAATTGCTTTTTTTTTTAATGTAGGCAATCTTTTACAAGCAGGTAGGGAGTGCATCCTAATTTGCTTGCAAACTGATATCTAAAGTTGCATCTTTTGAACTCAACAGGGTTCAGTAATGCTGATCTACACTTTAAATATTTACAAAGTTTTGCAGGTGTTTTGGCACAAGTTTTATTCAAACGCAAACACACATTTTAAAGTTGATGGTAAGGAGGCCAAGAAGGGGTTCCTCATAACCATATTTTTGTTGCACATTTTGTGCAATATTTTGTTTTTCGGCCGATCTGCGCAACCTGATCTTTTGCCTCTATTTGCATTGAAGGTCTTTACATCGTTGTTTATGGAATTTTTTCTTTTGTCGTTCGCTAGCGCTTATTACCCCAAACACAATGACATCAGAAATTTTTGAGATTTAACTTATTTGCCTTTTAATCAAAGTCTACACAAATCTGCTTGATATATACATTTTGCTATATATATTTTTATTTGATTTTTCGATTAATTTCGTTTCACTTTATTAGTAAGCTAAACACATATTTATTCTACAATATTATGACATAAATTTAAAGAAAAATAAAGCTCTTTTAATTTACACATAATTAATTTCAATTTTGTTAATACTGGTCTACGTTTTTTTTTTAAAGTTTTACAGATTATCTTTTGAGTTTTGGTACAAATTTTGTTTAAACACACATACACATATATACTATTATATTAAAAATTAAAACGGATGGGGGGAGGTAAAGACATTTCACCAGTGAATTCGTCTACTCTACGATAAGGTACGGGTACAAATTCGGACAAGGTACTTGAGTGGTACGACATGAGCTATTTTGAAAAATTTGATGTTAATTCTTTCCATATATTCATACAAGTGCTCATGAGCTGTCGTTGCGTGTAATGCGATTTGCACATTGATGAATAAGCAAATTTGACCAATGGGAATTTATTTATTTTTTTTATAAACGAATTTTGGATGCTGATCTTTGGCTGGAGTCAGTTTCTTTTTCTTCTGTGAGTCAGTAAATCAACAACAGATGACTCGCTGAGTTGAGTAAAGTAAACTTGACAACCGAACATAAACTGAATGGAGTGCCAATAGGAAACGAAGAATATTTCTTTTTCTTTAACGCCTAAAGAATTGAGTTTTCACAGATAGCACGTGCTCATTTTCCAGAAGTCACATCTCTATTCCAATTTGCAATTTTATAAGGATGTGAAATCAATCGATATCAACGAAATTTAATGACTTTTTTTATGAACTATCAACATAATAAAAAAGTTAGGAGGGTACACAAAATGCACTAACCTACTCAAGCGGGTCAGGGGGATTTCGGTTATTTTATATAATCCTACTTTGCTTATAATATGCGGAACGCTTGATGCTTTTTAAATAGTCATAAAATTTCCATCAAAATATTTTTTTTATATTAATTTCTTGAGATAATTTTGATTGTTAGAGTTGTTCTAATGAACTCGTTAGTGTTGTATTTATTCTAGGATATATCAGATTAAATTAAATTTTGCCGCTTTCACTTTAAATTCAGCTTAAAGATAATTTTATTAAAAACTTCTTCTTCGATTATGTTAAATATCGCGCGATATAGTTTCGGTCTTAATAGAAAAAATGAAGTGACCTTAATAGTAGTAATTCAACCTTAGCACATGTAGATTAGACTTATGGTTTGCCTCCAGAATAAACCACTGAGAACAAGTCCTTACAATTCAATAGTTTTTTTTTTCTCTTGAACAAAGAAGAGGTACTTGCGTGTTGGGCAGTCGGTAAGGTTTGAAAAAGTGTTTCTAAAATGTTTTGAATAAAATAATCCAACGTATAGTAAAGAATATTTTTCTGTTCCTTTTTATTTTTACGCTTTGGAGAAACTGCAATAAAAAATGTGTATGAATGAAATGAAAGTTATGAAGACATTTACTTGAAAAGCAAATAAAGTCGTATTCGATTTGGACCCAAGCTTTTGGTATTCACAACTATGTTTTTGTGCCTATATATGTATGTGTACAATACCTAATTACAGGAGAGGGCGAAGACGTGTTCTCTCCAATTACAATTTTAATTCAAATTTTTTTGTATTTTCCAACTGTTCTACAATAATATCACAAAAGAATGGAAATATTTATATTCTCCGCTTTGTTTATATGTGGTCTTTTTGGCAGTTACGAGCGAACACTTAATAAAAACAAATTTAAGAACAAACCTCGCTGTAACAAATAAAACCACTATAGTGGGCGGTGATTCAACATTAAATACCCTACACCACTTAGCTTAATGTAGCTATTCAGGTTACGATTTTTTAATATAAGGTGGGAAATCTGGGACGTGGTCGAAAACGTGGTCCGATTCAAATCACTTCCAGGAGCTTTTGCTCTTGTATATAAGTAAGTCGGTGTACTAAAGTTTATCAAAACATTTCAAACATGTCAACCTGTAACTAAGACATAAGGAAGGACAGACGGGCAGGGAGGCTTATATCGATACAGAGTGTGATTCTGAATCGGCGGCTCCTTCTCATGTCTTTCAGGGTGTTATCCTCATATACATTCTCATAAAATTAATATATAGCTGTGTGCCGCGAGTGGTGCACGGTAAAAAAATTTGCAAATTTTGAACTTTAAGCAATATTTTGAAACTATAATTCAGGATTTAGCTGATTTGATTTATGATGGGAATCAATAATTTAAAATTTGAAAATTTCTAGACTGTAATCGTGATTGGAGTATACACTCAACATTTTTACTCAATACAAAAAATTTAGATAAATCTTTACACTAATGACTATAATTGCTCAAGCTCCTTTGCGAAGTAATTTCACATGATGATCACTTTATGCGAATTGATACAAATAATTAAGTTATGCATATTCCAAAACAGTTACCTTAAAGTAATTAGAATACAATTCCTAAAAGTCTTCCAAATGCAGAAAACGTTCATTTGGTCTTTAGATTTTGTTGTTCCTTATTTTCATTTTGATTTTTGTTCTTATCCTCGTCTTTATCGTCCTTATTTTCCATAAATAATAAGGGACACATCCCAATTAAACAACCAACTGTAATGCCCAAAATGCGACCCTAAATTTCAAATCGCCACATTACTATTTTGTTTTAAGAAAGGTATAAATTTCTTTGATAAGCGTACAAAATTTGCTGATCTGCGACTAGATTTCATTTCCATTTGAACGGGTGTTAGATCAGGCGGACGTAAGCCTAACAGCTCGCAACCTCTTTCAACGTAATGCGCCGAACCAATGCCCAAAACGTCACTGATCGTATTGCCGAAACCAGCGGCAGCCATCGTCGATATACACATAAATGTTCCAAAAATATGCTCGATGTAATCGCCCTGAGGAGGTAATGCAAAGCAATAATGGGTGAATTGTAAAAAAAAAATAAATAGTTTTTCACTTACCGCCACAATCATAGTAAAGTTATCCAGAAAACCAAAACCAACGAATGGCACCGCATTTACAAAGAAAACTTCAAGATATTAACATAACAAAAACAGTATATAAAAATATTGAGTCAAAAATATCTGCAAATATATAGTATAATGGAGTATTTCGTTCTAAACGAAGCGAAAGGATCTTAGTAAAGAAAAACTACGAAAACGAAAATTCAAATATCGCGCGCCCGTCATCCACAACTCGTCTTTCACGAAATTAAAAATTTAATTAGCTAAAAAGATTTAAAGCGGAGTTAAAGACCTTTTGTTTTCTTTTTGAGTTGCTTCACATTGCAGCCTTGTTTTGTAATAATAAAATCGATATTGGAGGATTTTATCGTGACGATTCTCGCGGAATATTAAAATTGAAGCACGAGTCAACAAAAACTAGGAGACGCATTGCTTTCTCCCATATACTTGTAGATTATGGAATTTTTGAGTAATGCGCGAAAAACCATTTTTATTCCTGTTGAAAAAGAGAGGTACCACCAGTTTACGTAGTATTGTAGGCATGCCATTCGATCAATTTGGCCCATTCGTCAATATCAACACAAGTGCAAAAACTTCCAATGCTTCTGTCAAATTTGAAGTCGATAACTTTATTTTTGCGACCAGGAGAATGTTCACAGACATTACACAGACGGACAGACTGACACGCTCAGATCGATTTTCAAGAATCAAGATCAAGAATATATATACTTTGTAGAGTTTTTGACGCTGCCTTCTGGGCGTTGCAAGCATTTTGACAAAATGAATATACCCTTCATCCTTCGGTGATGGGTACAAAAACTATGTTAATTCGACTAACTTTTATTTAAGTTTAAGAAAATTTTTGCAAACAATTAATTGATTAACTAATAATCGCGGGAGTTGTGATCATCAAATCATTTTCTTTTTAATGTGTAATCCAGCAAAGCACGAAAAGTCTTCTGCTACAAATACTAATTCTGAAAACTAAGTACTACATCACTCAATAACTCTCCGGTCGGACACATATATGGTAACACAGTTGACAGACTCTGGATATTTCTGAATACTACTAACCTTCAAACCACGCGTATCATGTACTGATTGAAAATTGGGACAATCTAGAAATCACGTCGGCCTATTAATAGTGTTGCCTTACATGTTCCACATAGGACACTTTGTGTTACGTAGTCGTATTGAATCTCTCTTATTGATATGTAGATATTCTATAAATGATTGAAAAACAAAATTTTACTGATATTTCTTTAGACTTACTTTTCCATAAATCAGACTGCGTAGGATTAGCAGCTTTCTCCGCTGAAGTCAAAGTATACAATTTCAAGAAAAAAAAAAGAAGTTTTAAAAGAGTTTTCCATTGTGCTTCGAAGGTCTATTTGAAAATTTTTAAAATACTTATGAGAATGTTATTTTAGAATAAAATAAATTTGAAAGCAAAGTTAAGTAAATTCGTAAAAGCAAGTTGGCTTTCAAATGTCTATAAAATCATGGCGGAATAGCAACTTATGGCATAATGGGCATAATTCATGGTTAATTTGTGAAAAAGTTTTTTTCTTTATTTTCTCAACGTTAATCGTTTGAATGTAATATATAGTATAAGTTTTTTACCCGCTTTGCGTTTTAACCAGTCATCTGGAAAGGCACAATATGAACCAGTGGGATCTACTTCCCCCAGCGTAGGTACATTTGATAAGCGTCCAAATTTTGTACGCCATTGTGTAGCTGCTAACTTGCCTGCGGTGATGATGGCGATATTGAAGTGTCGTTCAGAGAAAACAGAAATTGTGGATGTTTTATAGGCAAAGAGTGACGTGGATGATCAAGCAAGTGTCGATAGAGTTAAACATGAAGAAAAGAAGTATTTGAAAGAAGTAACATAAACAATAATTAGGTAGATGCGTATAGAGGAACAGAGAGCTATAGTTAGAAGTACACTATAAACAGTTACATAAACAAAATATTAAAACCAGTGAAATAATAATGTTTACAAATTGTTGGTGTTAAAAGGAAATCATTGCAGATAATTCGTCCATATGGAGCGATTTCACTAACATATTAAGAATCTTTTAATCAAAAAGTTGAATGAAGGAATTTTGCCGCTCTTCTTGCATACATGTAGACATCAGAGATAAAAAGAGTTTCGCATATAGGCCCTTAGTCAACGTGATAATTGGAGAACTATGTTAACTATGTTTGAACGTCTGCTGATATTGATTAAGAAAATTAAAACTTATCGTATACATTCGTAACATTTGAAATCCGATCATGAAGCCCGCTGCTTGAGTAGGCAGTACAATCTGCCCAATGCAGAGCCATAAAGCAAGACTCTGACTTGCCTGGAAACGGGAATGAGTCATGACATTTAGGCAACCATTAATTTGGTTTGTTTGTTTGGCAGTTTTGTTTTTGTAAAACAAGGAAAAAAATTTGTAGCGTAGCGTCGCTAAAGCAACTGCAACTTGTTAACTAACAGTCGAAACCTCAGGAAATTTTCAGGCAGTTTGAAGATTGATGCTACCTAGTAATCTAACACTCTTAATCCAGATAACCCACTATTCAATCCAGATTCCTCCTTTTGCTGATTTGAGTTTAAGTGTAAAAAAAAAAAAAAAAAAAAAAAAAGCGGGTTCAACCAAATTACAAATGAAAATAGCAACATTGACTGAATAAGGCAAATTACGTAACTTTTTTTTAATATTTTCTCATCGAATTGTTGTTTGAATGTATATATCTAAATTTTCCTAAGAAATTTCATATTGCGGATATAACATTGTGCGACTAAAATACTAGGAAGTGGCCAGTGTATTCCCAAAGAATACTTTCGGGACGTTTTGCATTTGAATTCTGAAAGTTTTTAGACATTATTGTTCTGAATTTTTTTTTCTTTTTATACGTTTTTCATGCAGCGGCATTCAAATTTCCTGCATTCTTTTTAGTGTAGTGTTTTCTACCGAAACGAGCCGAAGTTATTTATATAAGTTAATTTAAACGGTATTTCAAAAAAAAAAATTTCTTTTGGTCGAAAATTGAAGTTTTTTCATTGAAAGAATTTGAAATGTTTACAAGGTTTCTACGTATCTCGCTCCCTAGCGATGGGCGCGTACATTAATTTATTTTTTTTCTTCGTTAGATTCAAGTTTGCACGAACTACTTCATTTTTTATTTTTCAAATTAAAGAACACACAAATAAATCCAATTAATTTATATCTTAGCTGTAAGTTTAAATTAACACAAATAAATGAGCTTAAGTATTGTGTTTTTCAAAGGAGTTATGAAAGTATAGGATGGAAAGAAGACCAATAGTATTGGTGTAAAGTTGTGCATTATTTCATAACAATTAATAAAATGGAAACAACATAAGGCCGCTATCTATAATACACACATTATCTCTTGTTGTCGAATTGCGAATGTGTCGGCCAATTGTTTAAAATACCTCAAGTTTCTGACCTGCAATACCATATACGACTTTATTTCGCAAACCGATATTATTTAGTTATTACATTGTCAATGTGAATATTATTTCTCGAGTCCAGAGCACCTTAAATTGAAGCTGTCGCGAAAGAATTTTCAAGTTTTGCAACTTCAGTTTTTTTTTGCTATTTAAATGTATGTTTAAATGTAATTTCCTCGAATGTTTTTTTTTTTTAACTTTTCCTTCTTTTTTAATCTGGTAGAGCGATATTATCCTCTAATGGAAATACGAGTAGCCATGTGTGAATCTGATTCATATCTGAATGCGTAAAACATAAAAAGTCTTCCGAGTCAAACAAGGTTAAATTTTTCTTGGAATGTTGTCTGAAAATGTGTAGACTTTTTCCTTTTAATACGAAACAACTTATACAGACGTACTCTGAGTCATTCTTTTGGCATCGATCGACGTTTAACACCTATAAAAGCCATATAATTAAAGACGAAAGCACGCGGAAATTGCGTTGAAATTCTCTTAGCACCGATCAGTAATAATAAGCAGTATTTAAAGTATATTTCAACAAAATTGAAAATTGTGTCTAGCTTTAGATGGCATATTGAAATGAAAGGGCTCATATTAATGTAAACATTGTTTCTTGCAACCTTAATTAACCAATTTTTATTTTTTTAAAGACATACCTGAAAACTAATAATAGGAGGAAAATATTTATGTAAACGAAAGTACCTTCAAAGGTTTCCTTTTGCTTTTTTGCTTCATACTTTTTTAAAGCTAATTTTATGGCAGCCAATTCCGTTTCCTTGAGATTTGATATTAAATCTAACGCTCGGTCTTCACACAAAGGATAAATGCCCAGTGGCAATGCCGCCTCGCGACCAGCAGTAAATTTAGAATAATGCTTTTGCCCAAGATTGTTCGAAATAATAGTAGCAAAGCTGTATAACGACTTTGATCTCTTTGACAAACCTCTATTTATACATGTAAAAATTCGGAGTGTTCCAAACATTCTGATGTACTGATGGTTGTGTACACGGTTTGAATAATAAACGTCTTCTAAAAAGGGCTGTAAAAGCTTTACCACTTTACTTTATATATACCTTTTAACTTTTAAATTTTTTCAAGTTTCGTCATTGCATTCGCACACTTTTTTCTGTATATTCCCATATTTTATTTTTTCATGCTTTCTCTTTATGCAAAATAATCCAAATTTTTTCGCGAAACTAATATTTTGATGGTAATATACATATATACAACTCCTTTTCTCCTTCACCCCATTCAGTACAATTCACAAACTCGCACGCTCTTAAATATTAGAACGCAAAATTTCTGTAAATATCCTCTTTCCTATGCAGTCAAAGCACTGCCAGATAAGAGAGAGTATAATATTATTATGAAAACAAACATCACAAAGCATAAATCAGCTGATCACTGCCGAATTTTTTATTACAAATGCAAAAATATTCTAGCTCGCTTAATTGTAAGCAAATTTTAGCTCGTATGAGAGTAATTAAATGAGCGAGCCAGTTACTCTCATACGAGCCGAAATTTGTTTATAATTACCGAGTACTGTATCTTCAGTCCATTTATTTTTATTTTTTATTGCTTTTTTTGTTTTTTTATATTGCTTTATTGCTTTTAAAATTCACATATGGCAGCACGAAATTGATACGAATGTACACTGAACGAAGAATAAGGGAAGACTTTTTGATTATACGTTTCATAACGCAACAAATCAATTTAAAATGGTGTGAATATTGCTTTTTTTCTTAAAGAAGTTACATAGATTTTACACTAGCACATTATATAAAATAAATTAATAAAGTAGGCGCAGTTTAAATAACTAGGTGCCATATCTAACCCATATCCAACAGTTTTTCGAAATTTGAACAACCATTTGGAAAAGCATCTAACAAAGTATGGCCGGTAAATCGGTCTTGACCGAACCGTTTACCCCCCCAAAAAAAAGTAAAAGAATAAAATTCTTGTCCGCAGTTGGTTTCTTTTATTTTAAAATAACAGTTTTTGCCGTGGAGGCATATGGACATTGTAAGCATGTCCTTTGAAATGTTTAGGTGAAATCCAAATATTTTTGCAATTTCGCTGACGGGAGAATGTTTACCACAAATGTTACAGAGTTGCGCAAACGGACAGGTGGACAGACGAACAGGCGGATATGTTCAACTGCATTCAAGCTTTAAAACTGGCTAAGAGTTTGTATACGGGGTTTTTTGAAGCCTGCTTGTGCGTGTTATAAAGGTGTTAAAAAAATAATTAAATTTTGATACACTATACTACTGACTAGACGCAGTCAATTTTTTCCATTTTTGTACAGAAATGCTACAGCATAGAATGTGCGTTCAATTTTTTGTGCATTTAAAAACCAATTTTTCGTTCCTTTTGAAAAACAGAGGTGTTCTCAGTTTACGTGATGCTCTGGGTGTATACTTCGCCCGATTTCAGCCATCCCGATAAATCTCTACAGTAAAAAAAAGTAAACTTTGTAAATGGTCAAAAAGTTTTAGAACTTGAGAAACTTTTTTAACGAAATTTTCAAAGCCTTCTGTGCTTTCTGAGAGCCTTCTATGTGCAAAGAGTATCATTGAGAGAAAGTGTTCCGCGCAGTCACGTCAAGTACAACTATGTAATGGCGTCTGTTTGTGTACAAGAATTATCAGAAACTAGAAAGAAAATTAACAAATTTTCATTATTTTTCTGAGGGTTAAATTTCGTAAATGGCAAAAATAATCTTTTTGCAATATAATATCCGGAGCTTTGGACGCAATGCTGACATTTTGCATTTTTTTATAAATTTAAATGCAGTAAATTTTTTGTAGCGAAATTTTCTTATCTAATGAAAATGCATCGGATCTGAAAATCTCGAAATGCCGTCCTTATGTTGATGATGAAGTTGTCGTAGTCATAGTTATTTTAAAAACAACCAATCCAAGGCCTAATATTGTGAAATTGTCTGCCCTCTTTCCACCTAATGTTCCATTTCAGTACTACTTTAAAGACGAAATAGAAAGGCTTTGATTTTTTGGGTCGTTTTCATAACGTAGTCCTGGATGGTGATTGTAATTCAAGTTTTGGTGATTTGATTTCGAGTAACAGGGGAAACGCCCCTTCCATTGCAAAACTGTACTTTCTTTAGTTGTTCTAATAAACGTACAGCCACCTTTTTTGCATGCTGATTGGTGCGATCATCGGAAGTTCGTTGGATCTGATTTTTTCAAATTCTACTCAATTAATTTCTCAGCGGGAAATTACGAATGATGCTTGTTTAGGTAATAGCTGCCGTGTTTCCATCATTTTTGAAACTGACGAAAATTGATTCATAAAAATTAACGGCTTTATATCTCATAAGTTTTTACTGGACTGGTTATCTAATGTTAACTTAGATTCTGAAATTTCCTCAATTCGAAAAATATTTGAAACGGAAAATAGAAATGCTAAAACAAATTTGCAGACAACGAAACTTTTCTTCCAAAACCATGGTGAAAGGCTTCACTTTCTGCTATCTTCGCAAATTGCACGCTTCCAGACGAAAATTTTCAATATACGCGAATTCTACAAATTGAAAGTGGTAATTCAAAGGAGTTCAAAAAGAATGGAAAGTGGCGGTAAGGGAAGCAAAAAGGGAGCATTGCATTCTTTTAATTTAAGAATTGCGCACTAACGGCAACAAATGGCCCTTTTGCAAGTTCTTAAATGGTCATTGTCAAACTGGGAGAATTGGAAATGAAGCCAACAACAAGCTGCACCTAGATTTGTTTGTGGACTGGAAACTAGATTGCTGTTCCTTCCTTATAATTATCCGACGCAGGCATGCCACCTTCTTTTTAGATGAACTTATGACTATTTTGCGTAGAAAAATAATCTCCTGCTGCGGGATGTGATGGGATTAAATATGATATGATCAAAGTTCTCTCTGATCAAAATCTGTCTGCCGCGTTGAATGCCATATACAAATGTTGGATTAAAAACATAATTTCAAACGAATGGCGTCGTATACAATTATTCCGATTGTAAGGGTCGGGAAGAATCGTGATAAGTTGGTTAATTATAGATCCATCTTCCTCATTTCGGTTCTAATGAAGATTGCAAATTCCATCAATCTCGATCTAACATCGTCAATCTGGTTACTTACCTTCGTAAGGGGCTTTACTCAACAAAAGCACTCACAAAACATTTATCCGCTCAAAAATAGAATATTCCCTCTCCACCATTTGTAACCTTCCTAACCTACCAAGAGGGCTACCTGAGAGAGCTTTAGTTCCTACAGCTAAGAAAATTGTGAAAATCAAAAATTTTTATCAGATGAGGCAGGTGAAGTATCCAGCAGCTATATAAGTTTTTATTTAAGATTTTATTGTATATTTCTGAAGTTCGGTACAAGGTATATATAAAGTAAATTTTAATCTTTTTGTGTCAAAGCACAAAGAAGGATTTTCCACAGTGGGTCTTCGGGCTTCATGTCGGGAAAGACTTCAACACAACAATTTCATAATTTATGCTACTGATAACTAACTGGAACATTCAAAAATCTGGAAGAGCATTTTTCAATTAACACTGAACTTCTAGCCATCAGACAGGACATTTCAAGAGGTATCAAAAAATTGGTGCTTTTTTCTGACAGTAGACCGGTCCTGACCCTAATTAAAAAAAAAATATCCTTACAATATATATGGATTTGAAATCCATAACGTTAACTATTTATGATATAGATGTGGGTGGTCTGGTTTGGATTCCAGATCACCTTGATGGACAAATTCTCTCAATCAATTGTTCCCCCAAAAACGCTTTCCGTCTTTTCTTCCAAATTCATCATTTTCCGACTTTTAAACCTTTTCCCGATGCCAACTTTACCACATGGTTTTATACCGAAACTGGAATTTCAAATTTCTATGGTATGAATAAAACCTACATCAGTTTGTTTATTAGAAAAACACAGAAGATTCCAACTTACACCAGTTTGTTTATTAGAAAAACACATGGAATTTCAAATTAAGGTGGTCAACAGACTCATGTGCAATCACGCATATGACAAACTATATTTAAAGAAGGTTGAACAGGTGTCATCTGCTATATGCGATGGGTGTCAGACATTCGTTTGAAATTTTCGGTATCTATAATAATCTATATGAAATCTTACGTGCTCGCAATAAGCAGCTAACTACCTTTATTAAAACTGCTGTCTTCTCCTTTTATCAGTTGTCATAATTATTATTAAACTTTTTGTCCTTTCTAGTAGTATTTTTAAAAATTTTTATAATTCCATAACACAGCCATAGCTTGACTAAACTCCAGAAATGGAAGGTACTGAGTGGATCATTACAACTGAAATATCAGTTAATCGAGGGAGATTAACATCATTGCATCATCAGTAAATCAATAATAATCGTGGCACGATTTGCACAATCTTTTTTCTCTGTTACCATCTTTAGTGCGGTTATCAACCTGGAGATGTTAAGAACACGATGAACTTAATTTATTGATAAAAATTTTATTATAAAAAATTTACAATTACTTACACAATATGCTTAAATTTTTATGCTCTCATTAGCAACAAGGAAAAATACTATTTATCCTCCCCTGTTTTTCACATATAAAAAAAGGCGTGAAAAATTCTAAAAACTTATATAGATGCTTAAAATTAGTATTCAATAGGACAAAAGTAAGACAGCTTAAAAACTAAAGCCGATTTCCACCCGAATTTATTGGAGTCGGACGGAAAATTACTACACTAAGAAATATAAAAATCATATCGTTGGGAAGTCCAAAGTTGCTTGACTGTCTAAATTTTCATTATCTAAAGGCCATATTAGTGACATACTTGATTCCCGTAGGTCTTTAATCTCAACGATATGTAATTAATATTAGAGTTAGAGCGTTCTTCTAAACTGTCAATGACATGCTTTTCTCGATCAGTTTTTTTTTCAAACTAATTATTCTCTCTTCACAACTAATTTCCAATACTTTAAGTTCAGCTTACGTGCAATCATTCACTTTCTGACCAGAAAAACCACGTAATTCGTGATTTATAGTCCTTAACAAAGGATATCTACCGCAACCGCAACGACCACGGAAATCATCGAGGTCCAAAGCCCACACCATGGCGCCACCGAGACGCATTCTTCTGATATACTGAGATTTACGACGTATATCTTCTACATCGTCGTAAGAAACCCACTGATTACCTCTACAAGCGTACGGACCAATACGACCTTCAGAATCACGCATTACCGTCCAACCGCCATTGCTAATCTGTTCACATATTTCGTAATAAGATAAAAAGCCTCTGGACCTTGTGTAGAGACCAGCGCGACCAGGGCCTAGAGTTTTGTTTTTAAGACTACATTTAGAATCTTCAGCAAGTGTAAACGCTTGGCCATACAAAGGTATACCCATTACAAGTTTTTGTGAAGGTGCACCTTTAGCTATCCAATAATTTACACTGAAATTGCTATTGTAATCATTGTCACCTAATACAGAATACAAAGGCGCAACATGCCCGGTTTTTTTATCCCAGTGACCGTGGAAGTCGTAAGTCATGATAGAGATCCAATCAAAATAATGAGCTAAGCTGGACACATCGTAACCAGCGTCGATGACCATTTTACTAGGTGACACGGCCGCCGAGAGCAAAAGAGAACGTGACTTAAAAGCCTCGTGGAGTTCACGTACCAAAGCAGTAAAAGATGCCTTTTCTCTTTCGGATCCTTTCGAGCAATCAACTTGCCAACAAACTGGGTATTCCCAATCCAAGTCTAAACCTTCGAAGCCGTATCTTTCAATAAACTTCAAGACACTTTCTATAAAACGTTTACGGGCCTTTGGATTCGAAACCAAGCGCGCATATTTATTGCCTGAAGAATCGTTCCAACCACCTATGGCAACAGTAACACGTATGCCCTTTTTCTTATAGGCCACTACACGTTCATAAAATCTGTTATCAATATCAGCCCAGACATCGTGCGTTTTTATGGTCAACGTGTTGTTATTCAATATAGTAAAACCATAAATTATATGTGTGCAGAGATTTTCATCTATATTTTCGGGTATGAATTTGCCCTGTCCAGATCGATACCATGCCCAGTTGGTGAAGTAGCATACCACTTTAAAGTTTTCGGAATTGTTTAAGGGCGTGAGATCTGGAACAGGTTTCGGTCGGTATGCAGGCTTTTTATTAAGAATTATACCCGGTTTTTTAGCGGATTTATGCGTAACAAATGCTGAGTGAAGAGTTTCACTGGTAGTTTCAGGATTACGAGTCGTACATCTAGAAGATTGAGGCCAATCGCAATAATTTTCATTCCAATGTAATCCTGATGGGCATCTGCAAAAAGTGTGGAATGAATTATAAATCTTCAGATACTTCTGATTTAAGAGGGACTTACTTTTGTTCCACAAACTCTCCGTATTGACATATATAATACTTGTTGCAGTCGTGTTGATGCGAGGCATATGATTTACCATGACATTCCGTTGGTGAGTCCGGAAAGATTTGTATAGGCTTGGTAGGTTTGAAAGAGATAACTGGTGTTACGGGACTATTACCAACAGTCGGCTTAGATGTATGTGATGAAGGTGGCTTGCCTTCGTAGTCGGCAACTAAAATCAATATTTAAGGAGAGATAAAATTTGGATTCCATTTTTAAATACTTACTCATAGTTTTATCTCTTTTTTCCAGCAAACAATTCGGTTGCGGCGTAGAGTAATTTCTCAAGATACGGTTAATAGCCTTTAATAAGGGATAGGATTCACAATTACACACGTTCTTGAAATCATCTAAATCTAAAGCCCAAATCATAGCCCCACCTAAGCCCATTGCTTTTACGTATTCTGACTTATGTTGTATCATAGGCGCATCATCAAAAGAAACCCACTGATCACGCAAAAAAGCGTATGGGCCCATACGTCCTCGTGGATCTCTGACAACGTTCCAGCCACGCTTCTGTATATACGTGCAAATTTCATAATAGGACAAAAAACCACGAGCTCTTGTAGCCTCCCCTGCCTCTCCGCCGCCGTAAGAAGGAGCATTTAACCCGTGATCGCTGGCCTGAGCTAAGGTAAAGGATTGCCCATACATTGGCATACCCATAATCAATTTTTTGCGTTCCGCTCCCTTTTGTAACCAATAATTAATCGAAAAGTTAACATTAAAGTTTTCTACATCGCCAGGATAACCGTACATAGGGGCCACGTGCCCAGTTTTCTTATCCCATTGTCCATGATAATCATATGTCATAACAGCAATCCAATCTAAATATTCAGATAATTGCGTCACGTCATAGCCTGCATCAATTACCTTTTTGTTGGGTGAGACAGCTGAGGAAAGCAACCAATGCTTGGCTTTAAAGGCTTCGGATAGCTCAATCACCAATTGTTTAAAACCTTCCTTTTCGTCGGGGCGACCTTTCTTGCAGTCAACTTGCCAACACACTGGATATTCCCAGTCCAAGTCCAGGCCTTCAAAACCATATTTTTCCATGAAATCAATAACGTTTCTTATAAAATGTGATCTAGCAGCTGCACTTCTAACAAGCCGAGCGTATTTATCGCCAGCCGAATCATTCCAGCCACCTATAGCTACACTGACTTTAATGCCTTTGGAACGATACGTTACGACGCGTTCGTAGAAATGATTGTCTAAGTCAGCCCACGAGTCGTGAGGCTGAATAGTAAGGGTTTCACGATTTAGTACAGCAAAACCGTAGACAATGTGGGAGCACAACCGGCCATCAATATCCTCAGGTAAGTATTTACCTCCATTTTGGCGATACCAAGCCCAATTAGTAAAATAACATACAACTTTGAAGTCATTAGATAAGGAAGGTTCTAAAGTAGGCGTCAGTTCAGCACTAGAAATAACTTCGAAACCCTCTACATCTTCGTCTTCCTCTTCAATAATATTCACTTCTTCAGGAGAACTTTCGCTATCCCACTCTGATTCAGAAGATACTTGTTGCGCACTATTTATCTCTGTGTCAAACTCCATTTCGAACGAAATTAAATCGGCTGCAATGAAAAGCTTTAAGTTTATTTATAAAACCCCTTTGAAAATTATCTCACATGTTGATTCATAATCACTTGGAGGATTTCTTAAAACATCGTGTATCTGAGTTAACAATGGATGGACACCTTCGCCGCATCGATTACGAAAGTCATCTAAGTCCAGAGCCCAAACCATGCCACCACCTAAATCTAAGGCTCGTATTAATTGCGCTTTTTTTTGTATCATACGTGAGTCATCATAAGAAACCCATTGACTTCCTTTGAAAGCGTAAGGTCCCATACGACTATGTTTATCCTGAACAACTTTCCAATTTTGATGATTAACACGATCACATATCTCATAATAAGCGAGGAAGCCAGGGGCTCTGGTGAATTCCCCTGCTTGTCCTGGGCCCGAAGCCTTGGAGTTCAATCCATTATTATAAACATTTTCCAAAGTAAATGATTGTCCATACAACGGCATACCCAGCACAAGTTTTCGTGATGGAGCACCTTTTTGAATCCAATAATTAATTGAGAAATTCTGAATAAGAAGAAAATGTTAAAATTTTCCTAGAAGCTAAGCTGGAAAAACTGACTGTGTTAAAATATGCTATGTCATCGTCGGGATGAAAAAATAATGGCGCTACGTGTCCGGTTTTTTTATCCCATTGCCCATGAAAATCATAGGTCATCACGGCAATCCAATCGAAATATCTAGACAAAACAGGAACATCATAGCCTTCGTCAACAATCTTTTTGCTGGGTGAAACAGCCGCAGACAGCAATAGACCGCGTGGTGTGAACGCCTCGGAAAGTTCTTGTACTAAAGCGGCAAAACCCTGTTTTTCATCGGGCATACCTTTACGACATTCAGTTTGCCAGCAAACCGGATATTCCCAATCCAAATCCAAACCTTCAAAACCATACCTTTCTAAAAATTCAACGGCATGTCTAACAAACCGTCCACGGGCTGCAGAATTTCTTACCAAACGACTATATTTATCTCCTTGCGAATCATTCCAGCCACCCAACGCCAAACTAACTTTGATGCCTTTACTTTTCAAGCCACTGACCCTGGTATAAAAGCTGTTGTCGATATCAGCCCATGAATCGTGTGTTCTTAAAACTAATTCAGAATAATCTAACACTGCGAACCCATAAACAATGTGTGTACAGAGATTAGTGTCTATGTCATCAGGTGTGTAGCGTCCCATTCCACGGCGATACCAAGCCCAATTAGTGAAATAGCAAACAATCCTATAATAACCACTTACGGGCTGAACGGAAGGTTTCTGTGTGAGATGAGTGGGCGGCGATGAGGTGGTGATCATGACAGGTTTATGTGTTGTAGGTGCCGGTCTAGGCTCTAAAGGTCTATTTACTATTCCATTTGTTTCACTACCAGAGGCATCATCCGTACATCTTGCTGAATTGGGCCAATCACACATCCCAGTTTCTGCATTAAAATGGGAGCCAGGACCGCACTCACCGGCCTGAAAACGATTCCATAAACAAAATAAAAATTTCGTACAGTCGCCTGGGTAGGGAACTATTTCTTCACCGTTACATGGATCTTCAGGTATGGCTTTGGATTGTACAAGACGTAAATAATGCTTAGTTGTAACGCACTTTACGTTTTCAGGCCAATCACAAGTTTTACGAATGGCGTCCCAATGCAAATTGCCGCCACAAGAATTTGGGACCAAAGCATTGTTTACACAAATGTAGTATTTACTACAATGGCGGTGGGTGTAATACTTCCCTTCGCTACATTGCTTCATCGGTTTCTGAGTAGTTTGGTGATTTATGGGTTTGAAAGGTCGTGGGGTGGTCCAATTAACAGTTGTTGCCGTTGTACGCTCCGTTGTCTTTACTGGTACTGGTGCGTAAGTCGTATTTGGTTTTTTTTTAGAAGGCACGCATTTCGCAGCTGCTGGCCAATCGCAAATTTTATTTTGTCTATTCCAATGGAGTCCCCCCGGACAATATTGCTTACGTAATTCTCCGGGCATTATGCATTGATAATAAGCATTGCAATTTACGCGATCACCAAAATATTGCCCAGTGGTACAATTGGATATGTGTAAAACGGGGCGTACTACAGCTGGTGCCGGTATCCTAGTCGGTCTTTCATTATTTTGAGGAGGCGTTGAAGTCAAAGGTAAACGCGTAGTTCTAAGAGTAGTTGTTGATCTGCTAGTGGTGGGTTTTTTCGCTGCTGCGATGGTAGTGCTGGTAATGGTTGACGGGCGCTGATTTGTTTGTACAATGTTGGGGGTTGTATGCTGGGTATGGGAAGCGCCATCACTACTCATAGTAGTCATTACTGGTGGTGGAGGTGTTACTGGTTTGGGCGGCTGTATGCAGTTTAGTTGGGTGGGAGGTGGGGTATTTAAACGACCTAATGCGCGATTAATAGCACTCAATAAAGGAAAAGATTCACTGCAGCAGCGATTTTGAAAATCATCTAAATCGATTGTCCATGCTGCTACTCCAGCAAAACCCATATTTACAGCATAACGCGCCTTAGCTTCTACGGAAGCTGCATCCTCAAAGCTCACCCACTGATTACGTAGCATAGCAAATGGTCCCGCCTTGCGTTCCGCATCTCGACCGACCAACCATTTATTTTTTCGTATTCGTTGACAAATTTCATAGTAAGCCAACATACCGGGTTGCTTGGTAATCTCCCCCGCTTCACCAGGTCCCTGAGATCTTACTCCTTCCCCTATTAATGAAGTGTAATCCTTTTGTAATGTGAATGACTGACCATAAAAAGGAATGCTCATAATAATACGTTCTCTTTTGGCTCCTAGCTTCAGCAAAAGTTGCATAGTATAATCGGTATTGTACTGAGGATATCTATCCCTTTTACGACCATATAAAGGGCTCACGTGACCAGTTTGTCCCTCCCAAGCGCCATGATAATCGTAAGTCATGACAGTTAGATAATCAACCAGTTTCGAGAGATCAGCAAGCTCGTAGGCTTCCGTAATGATCTCTTTATACCCTGAAATGGATACTCCTAGCTTAAATTTTTTATCAAATTCGGCTCGTATTTCGCGCACTAATTTTGTTAAATTTGGTTTATCGCTAGCAGGTCCCTTGGAGCAATCGCTTTGCCAACATTTAGGATAATTCCAATCTAAATGTAACCCGGAAAAACCATGTCTTCTCAAGAAACCGGCTACATTAGAAGCGAATACACGTCTTCTGATCTCATCCGAAGCTAAGCGAGAATATTTATCGCCAGCTGAATCCGTCCAACCACCTAATGCTATTAGCACTGGAATGCCCGAAGAAACGGCACGTTTATAGAACTGATTATCAATATCAACCCACGGATCGAATTCTTTTATATTTAAATGATCCGGATCCAAAGAAGCAAAAGAATATATTATTTTAGTGCACAATCTTCTATCAAGACGCTCGGGAATAAACTGTCCGACACCCTGCCTATAGAAAGCCCAATTAGTCATATAACACAAGACTTCAGGGGAAGTATTGAAACTTTTAGGAGAGTCCTTTGGATTAGGAAATTTGATATGAGCTAAAGCACCATAAGGACGGTCCTCGCATTTATTGTCCGCATTAGTTAATCTATCAAAAAATAAAGGTCTATTGTCGACTTGATGTAGGTCCCTGACTTCGGAATTCTTTACCAACTGTTGAAACGGCGAGTCCGAGCGATAAGGTTGTGGTGAAAATGTGTCCACTTGGTCTCTATATAAACTGGGTAACACAAAAGCAGCATATTTGTCGGTTTTAAACCATGGATCTCTTTGATAAAACGTCTCAACTTCCGGGCTCATAGTTTCCACAAATTTCTCGGACTCGACTAGATCCATCTCGCTTTTTTTGACATCAGACGAATAGGATTCTTCGTCTAGAAATTCTTCGTCGTCCTTGTCTTCAATGGGCAAAGACTCAACAGCATCGCGGATGAAATCTCTATGAGAAGGATTGTCTTTTAACTCTGCTATTGTTTTTTTATTAACACTAGGTATGCTCTCTACAGCACTGCGCAGCGGCAAGAACATGTCGCCAAATCTAGGAACCGTGCGACTTAATTCCCCGCTAGGGCTATCGGACGGCATACTTTCTACTGCAGTACGTAAAAATGATAAGAAAACTTTTGCGGGTAAATGATGTGCCTCGGGAGCCTCAAGACGTATATGAGAATACACATTGCAAGAGTAACAAAGTAACTAAATCAAAAAATATTGAATTAAAAAAGAAAGTGGAAATGAAAGCAAGAAGTGACTTACCAGCAACCAAGTTACTTCCATATTCGTTGCCACTCTCATCACGTTTAGAATTTAATTGATTTGGTCAAACCAAATAAATGCGTTAGCAAAGGTTATTCTGTGAGGAGAAATGAAACAAAAATTATGAAGGAAACATTTCACATGTAACATAGTGCGTTGCATTCGTTAAATAATTGTTTTTAAATTAATATAAAGGAAGTGGCATGCTTGGAAATTTTGATGAATACATATATATCTTTGACAGTGAACAATGCCATTTGGATGACATACTAGGAAGTGCAGCCGCGGTTTGAGCTTTTATTTTATTTTTATAGTTTTCATAAACATCTTATATTAAATATGCAATTCGGAATCCATTTTTGTCGTGCAAGTCCACTAATTCGAACGATCATTTGAAAAGGAAAAAAGTGCAAGAAGAAGATTTACATTGGAAAACATCTAATACGCAGACTGTAATTGCATTCGCTTTAGACTGATATTTTAGAGCTCTCCAATTTTTCATACTAAAATTTCGGAATCCAATAGTCGAGTATCGGCATTATTTCGAAAAATTATAGAACGATTGAGTTCATCTAATATTGCCCATTGGATGAGTTTGCTATCAAAGGGAATTTGTGTGACACTATTCGTTTCATAGACATATATGTATTTATATATTGGTTGATTTGCTTTAATATTTATTGATTTATTGAAGTTTCTAGAATCGAACGGAAAGCAAAGACTCAAAATTACAGGTTATGGCAGGTACATGTAAGTCGCTGAGGACACAGTTTTTTAAGATGTTCGGTAATGTAATGAAACAAAATCGAAAGAAAAAATATTTCCCGATACAAACTCTATTGCAGTAACTACTTAAGCCCGCTTAGCTAAAAAAAACAAAACAAAAGAAAATAAAGACAAATATAATTTAGGCATTATAGTTTGATTTAACTTTCTCCTCGTGCTTTACGGACTGCAAAGCTTTTTCTTACCTTGACTACAGTATTTTGTACATATAATAGTCCTTAAGTACTAGGCTCGCTATTGTAACCACTTTCTTTGAGGTATCTTTATTTTAGTCTTAAGCTAAATTTGACTTGATCCAGGAGGCTGACGTGTTGTGGCGACGCCAAAGCCTTTTGCCTTTTCGTCTTCCTCAACTTTTACCTAAACAGTATTGTTAATTTTTTTAGAATGTTTGCCTCTTATACGGAGCATGCGGAAAATCACAATTTCTAGGATAAAAGTGACCACAGATTCTTCTGCCTTTTCTGAATGAGAGTCGCAACATACTCTCTAGCTAAGCGTGTTTGAAAAGAGAGCAAAATAATTAGATATATTGTAGTTGCCAATTTAATAGCCAGCGGTTTCCGGAGACGGGCTTGTTCATAAAGTTTCATGTACAAAAAAAGGATTGGCGGAATGTTTTATGGCCCAAGGGAGATTTGAAAAGACTACCATCTTTCATAAGAAGAAACAATTTAAAAAACGACTTTTTTTATTTTATTTAAGACACTTAGAAAATCTGATGTGTCTTTTATAATGCGATAAGTCGAGGAATAAGATGTTTCAGATTGCCTACCTGGTATACATAGAAAGCACGCTACAACGATGGATCGGGCTGTGCTTGCCGTCAAGGAAATGTTTGTCGAAATGATGCCTTCGCCAACTTACTTTTTTGATGACACTTACATTTAGATGACAAAAAATTGTAGCAAAACAATATTCCTCATCTTGAATCAGTTTGGCTTGGAGACATAATTACATTAACCTATCTAAAACTATTTTGCACCTTTAGGGTATTTTAAAACCCGAGTTCAGATATTATAACATAGCACTGAAAGCAACCCCAAAAACGTTTGAATTTGGGTTATGCGAACCATTCTTGCAATCACTGCTACTCTTCATAAAACCAATAGTCAATCCATTAACCGCTAATGTTTAATGTAATTATTTAACAAACTTTTACGTAGTTTTTGCTTTAGCGCGTTGACGTTAATGGCGTCTGCAGATGTCCATAGATGCACACGACGTCTATAGCAGTCCTATATTCTTAGTATTATAAAACAAACAAAAAAACATGTGTGTTTTTGGAAGCACCCACTGATTTTAAAATGTGCGTCAACGTGGTGAAAATCATCAATACACGTTTCTGATGACTCTGGCCAAGGCAGATACACATCATCATCACTTCACATCATGAAAATCGTAAACAAACCATCCAACTGATAAAGTTGATATTCGGTTTCCGCATTTAGGTCAAGGCAATCTTCAAAATTCAAATAAAAGTTTTGAGATCACTACTCGAAAACAGAAAAAAGCTCATCGATTCTACTTCACATTTATTTTCCCGCCTAGAATATGAAGAGGCAAGCAGGTGTATACCGCGCTAGTGAGATAAATTCCTGTACAAGGACCTGTTCAACGTAGCAAAACAATAAATATGAAATATTTTACTTGAGGGTAACGATCATCAAAGCTTTGCCGTGAAATAATTGAAACTTTTTCATGCGCTTTTTTTTGTTTGCTTGTTTACTTTTTATTAAAACATTGGCTTGTGATTCAGTAATAAAGACACAAAGAACGCGTGAATTAATATGCCAAACACATATTCGAAGCAATTACAAAGAGACAACTTTCAACAAGTTTAAATAATAAACATTTATATAGGAACTTTTTGGAGTTCAGGAAATTTATTAAGGTTTCTTTCTATCAAAAATTAGAAATACTTGGTAAAGTTCTCTTAAGACATTATTTTTATATATATGCGTAATATTCTAGGTCGACTTATCTTTGTTCGTTGCTTTTTGAGTTTAACACTAAGACTTTAGTGAAGATAAATTTAAAGCTAAGTTCGGTGCTTTAAACAAAACTTTGCAGCAATAATTCAAGAAAAAGAAACACTTCAATATTTTCAGTTGACAGTATCCAATAAGTAGATTTTAACCTAAGCGATTTAAAAGAACTTGTTCGCCTAAACAGAGCCTTGAGGTTATAGAATGGAGAATCGGGGATGGTTTGGAAATCTGGAGCATGTGTAATCTAGAAGGTTCTATAAAGCATACAAAACATAAAAAAGGTATGTTTGAATCTAATATAGTCGCATTTTTTAATTATTTCTCAGCGCATTTTTTAATTATTTCTCTCACCTTTCGCAAATCTCTTACTCTCTCTGTGTTATGTACTAGAAAACATACTTCACACAATCGCTCTTTAAAATTTACTATAAACATAACAAAAAATTTGCACCAGCCTAGTATACCTAAAGCTGAATAACAATTAATTTTCTCGTACTTGGTGCTGCTCACGCACATTGAGAATGATTGAAGCAGTAATCTATGTACATATTTATATATACCTATATACATATTATAATCTAAAGTGTTTAGCTTTGTGTATGCGTAAAGAGAACATGTAAAACAAAAGAGCATGTAACACGTTTTAAAGAAAGCGATGAAATGAAGAAATTTATAGTGCTGGGGCCTGTTTGCGGTTCCCGATATCGAATAAATTCGATCGTAATTTGAATACGCTGTTCGACCACGGCAATTTTATGTTCGAACATTTGTAATTTGACAGCCTTAAACTCTTTACTTCATTACTGTGGGCCTTACTCGATATCGAGAAGCATAGCGGGCCCCAGGTCCGATTGAGCTACTTTTCAAAGTCTATCGAGCTAGCACTCGGGAATAAGAAATGCCCTGAAAGGAAATGAAATCAATTTTGTTATTTACGTATATCAAGAAGTCTACAATTTCTATATAACATATGTATATGACATATGTATTTGACATAATTCTTGTGCTGTGGATGTAATAACGATGTAATAACGATGCCAATAAGAATTTTACAAAACAATACAACTTAATAATTAGCTAAAGTTTTTTTTCTTTTTCGATTATAAGCTAGTATACAAACATACAATGCCACTCGCGGAAAAAATAAATGTTTATTCAGGTTTCCAACACAGTGTTATAGTGGTCGAATTCCTTATTTCTTCTCTTCACATCCAAAGAAATTAATTAATGATTATGTTTAAAATAATTTGATGATATGCGCGCGTTTAGCTTAGTGCAGAGAGATTAAACTGTTTTTCACCTTTGTTAAATGTGCGCGAACTGAAAAGTGTAAACGCTTTCAGAGAAGTGTTCGCTTTAGTGACCTTCTTTGTGCGGAAATCCTGATATTTTTTTTTTCAAAGACGTATGCATAAATATGTAAACCACTTGCAATCGGTCCTTGACCTTGTTTTTTGACCATTTTTGGCGAAAGCACTTAAAAACTCAAGTCTTCTTAACATTTTAGTTTTATTTTTTAACATAAAAAATTTAATCCAAACCGATTTTAATTGTTTATAAAAAAAAAAACAATATGAATAAATAGTGACACGTTAATCGGATAAACCGACAATCAAGGTTTGGTTTATCACAATTTAGAATTCATAACTACACTTGCTGACTTTACTCACGGACAGGCAGGCATCTTTAAAAATTTGTCAATGTTAAAATGGATAAGAACGTATCAATTAAGATCCATAGGTTATCGATGATAATCATTTTAATTGCCTAACTTTAAGTTTACGAACACGAACACTATATGCCCAACAACATCTTTCAATAAATCGACCATTTATGATACAGTTTTTTAGATATAAAGATTCATATGCGTATTTAGTCATGCGATTCACTGTTAAAATTTTGCCGCCTTGTTCGGTGAGAATACTTTTATTTGATAAAGTTAACTACGAAAATTAAATTTGTTGCAAATTCATTTAAACTAATACATCGGTTTTCAAGCAGAAATTATTGACGATATTTTAAGAAAGTTTTCGAAAGAACCGTAACGCATAAAAGGTTCAATTATTTGTATCTATGATCTACGATTTAAATGTAAACATAATAAGGCCACTGACATTTCGAAAACAGCGACCATAATTTCTTTAATATTTTTACTTACGTGAACAACACCCACGACGGTGAAGCAAAAGACTTAAGCAAAATACTTTTTAAAAATACTCTGCGTAACTTTACTGCATTTGGAACTTATTTAACGGCAAGGAAAACTCAACGTATAAATATGTCGTATGTTCATTTAGAATTTACACACTTTACGACGATCCATTTGATGTGAAATTTTCACTAATATTATCTCTCTTAATTAAGCACTTTTTTCATAGGCTTTAAAAATAAATAACAATTTTTGTTGGGTTTTTTTTATATTCCAATTTTAATTAAATAATTTTCTTTACCTTAAAATTTTATTTCACTTTTCTTTTTTTTTTTGTTTCTTTTTTGGCACAATGTTATTAGTAACCATGTAATCGCAATGTTCTAAGATACATATTTTTCTCAGACGGCAAAGCCAGAGATGCGTCAAACGAGCGTAAATATAAAACTGATTAGGTTTCTGACCAGAACGCACCTATTTATATGAAATGCTTAAGGTACGAATTCATTGAATAAGCAAATAAGAAAGAAAATATTATTAAAAGAAGAACAACAACAAAGACAGCACAAAAATTTAAAATTCACAATGTTTATTAAGTATATCCAATAATGTTCTTTCTATAGAGTGATTTTGTTAAACTTGAATTGTATATTGAAAGCATGCAAACTCCAAGAAAAAGCGGTAAAAAGTGTACTTACATATGTACGCATATAAAAACGATTACTTCGATATATGAACAAAAAAAAAGAAACATAATTTTTTTGGCTTTATCATAAAAAGACAAAATTTTAAGGGAAACGTTAAACACTACAGAACTCTTATTAAAATGTTGTACACTCCCTTGAATACTCTTAACTTTGGCTTACGTAAACGGTCTTCCATAACGATAACTTTAATTGCTTTATAACATGATCGAGCAGATTTCTGCAAAGCAGCGGAACTCTTCACTTGCAAAGTTATTATTTTCCTATAATCTATCGACCGTAAGTAGTTACTAAAGGTAAGATTTAGTTACCATTTAAAGTTAATTCTTTTTAGATATTATCAGATTTGTCACGGTCGCAGTGAGTACACGTGAAATAAATTCACTCATGCGTTTCAACTGCACAAAAATAGGAAATAAATCATATTTATTTAACTGCCATCTCACATTTTGCGGAAAGAAAGACATAAACTGTGGCAAAGTAGCCGTTAATGCAAAAATTGCAGACATCCCAGCGTTTTAGCAGACCGTACTTTCCATAGGCGTGCTTCAACAGACAGACATTTGCTTCCGAACTAAAAGGCGTCAAACTCACATATTTCAAGTATCAGAAAAATAAAATAAATGAAAAAGATCCAGTTCTTAAGTTCTTTTATACCTACCACCACCAAATCTTGTTTACATCGTAGAAATGCGCTTCAAATCCGTACGTACACACGTACACTTAATCAACATGAAACTGTAAGTAACTCTGTAATTCCGGTAAACATGTTGGTTTGTCTGCCTGTTGAGGCAGAGAACTAAAAGTTTAAATTTTCTTAGTTGCCGTTTCCTGTAGGACCTTTTTGAAATTATTTGACATAACCATTTGTGAATCACTTCAGTAAATATTTTCATCTATCCCGGATATTGATCCCGAAATCACTGTAAACCCTATCATAAGCTTTATCCAATGAGTTAACTAAAATACTCCGGAAATTATATTCGGCTTTGAATCAATCTGCTACGCTCATCACCCTCATTTACAAAAAATTAAAAAAAATTGAAAAATAATTAAGTTTCACTGCTCTATAATATTGAGTGATTTTTCCAATTTCTATCCAGGTAGTGTAGGATTGTCCGCAGAATATACGTAGCAATTCTGCCGCTGTGTTTGCTGAACCTTATGAGTAACCAGTAAAATACCGAATTTTTTTGGAATCGATATTTTAATTTTCGGTTTCACGAGTACGTATAGCGCAGACATTACATAGACCGCCATATGGATATGCTTAGATCACTTCACAATTTGATACTAATCTGGGTGTTGTAAACATTTTGGAAAATCTACCATTCTTCACCGGTTGATATAAAAATTCGATTGACTATTTTTTATATTGATCTAAGATGAGATATTTCGAAAACTCAACTAAATCTTTGTTCTTTAAGTTGAAAACTTTCTGAATGAACCCATGAATTCATGTATGATTACCAACAAACCATGTAAACACAAGAGAGTGTTTATTCTGCGATGTACGCCGAAATATCCATTCCTTTGTCAAACATACCAGTCAATGTTTATTCTATTTCAGCGGCATTCTATTCAACAGCAAGGAGATATTTTAACCTGTACGCAAACAAACTTTAAATAATTAATATCTAAGATCACATATGCCAAAAAATAATGCGCTGTCAGATTGTGCCTTTTATTAGAGAAGACCAATGCTCTGAACTCGGACGTGGAATAATTTTTTTAATACATCTCTTTTTTACGGATCATTACAAAGGTAAAACCCATCAATTGAAATTAAATAGCATTAAAGAAGCATAGTAACTATGTGCCAGAAGTGCGTCTACATACTTGATTAAGATCTTAGGTGTTAACTAAGCCTGGGTTAAATTATGCCAAGTGCTTCCTTCGTATTGTTTTTATATTGTTGCGATTATTACTTATAAGTTTTTGCGCTCTTCTGGTAAACGTGCAGACGCACCATATTCTCGGGCGCACTTTTTCCAACAAACATCGTTGGAAAACACACTGTCTTCGGTTAAAAAATTCCATTTTAACAAGGGTGAACTTCATACAATACGTTGCTTGAAGAAGCCATGCGACGCCCCTCAACAATATTATAATTTAAACTGGTCTCCCAGCTTTACAAAATAGACTTTATGAGTTAAAAGCTAAAATCCTGCCCAAGCTTCTTAATTCAAAGAAATCCATTCTCGGTGAAGATGTGAGTACTATTACACCATCCGCAATTGACTACTTTTTGTTCCTCGTAAAGGAATTCAACATTCCCGTAAAAATTCTCCGGTATTTTGGTCTTAAACTTCCATGGGTTTTGAAAGACTACGTTTTTGACATTCGCTGTCTATGCACAGAAAGAAGACACTCCAAATTACGTGTACAGAAATCTAATTGCTGGAAAAACACAAATACAGGAGAGTAACAGTTGGAATCTTTCTGTCATTGTTTTTCTGTATTGAACGCATTACGGAATCCTTTGATTTCAAGATGGCGCACCATCAACAAATTAAGGAATATCATTACAACACAAGGCGAAAAAATTAAAATGCTTTGGATAGCAAGCTAATCGAGCGGCGAAGTATGTTGCTTCTGCACCTCTAATTTACATCCAACTGATCCGATCCTTTTTCTAATTATGGATGATGTCATGGAAAACTTGGATCTTCAAAGATGCATTGGAAGAAAAGTTGAAGAGAAAATTACAGAAGGAAATCTACAATACCGTCATCAGCACTACTCTTCCATTAACCCTCAATCAACTCCACCTATATATCCAACAAATGCTGAGAAAGTCAAGATCCAAACATTTTCGAGAATTCGTCATGGCACTATAATTGCAACTCATCAATGGATCTTAAAGGAATCTTCCTCCCCAATCTGCAATTGTGGACAAATACTACAAAGCACATTCTCTGTGACCGCCTTAACTTTTCCTTGGCTAGAAGTATTGCATTTGGAGCGACTAATTCTATACACATTCTAAAATCAGCTACAGAACAGAATATCAATGCAATACATTACTTTATTAAAACTATTAGGCTCAATATCTAATGTACTTTTATAACTTAGAGGGGATAATCCGTGTTGCTAGTGTTCAATGTCTTTCTTTTAGTCTAAGAATTTATTCCACTACCGCTGATTAAAAATTGGGCCAGACCATTATATTTTTGTGAGCATGTAGATCACTTTCTATTTTCCTTTTATCAGTTGGTTGTTAAGATAGTTCCCATCGCAAAAATTAAACTGGAGCAGCGAAGCTTTGACATTACATTCCCAGCTGCCGGCCAGAAATCAACTCTGAACATGAGCGATTTTTGTTCATTCGTTCTGGTTAATGAATTACTCATTTTGCGCAAAATAGTGTGAAAAAACGAAACATAACATCGCTAAAAACTTAAATCTTCGCAAGTAATTTTTTTAATACAAACTTCTATGTATGAAACTTGGGTTCAACGTTCCGTTTTGCGTATATAAAAAGAAAATTATGTTATCCCATTTTATAAAAATAATCGTATATGAAAGTGTAGTAATTTACGCTCTACTTTATGATCAAGTAAATATATTTTAAAGCTCATCATCATCAGATGTGTCGAAACTATTTTTAAAATCATTGGACGTTATGCTTTTTCCTACTTTCCTCAATGTGGGCTGATAATCAATTAGCTGAACACTATCTGCCTTGCTTGCTAATTCTGTCAAGGCAGAGAAAACATGAATGTTATTCAAAAACCTGTAATTATGTTATAATATACTTACTTACTGTAAACTCCAAATTTAGCAAATATCACAAATTTATTTACGTAAAGAAGAACGTGAGCGTGTGTGTGTACATTTACGAATCAAATAATTTCTAGTTTGTAATTTATGTTATCATTAAATGAAATAAGTAAATAAATAAATTGATATTTGTTACATTTTATATAATTTATATTTAAATATAAATAGCTTTATTTATATAATAGTTTTATTATATACTTAAAATAGCTTTATTAATATATATAAAAATATATATAAAAGAAATTATTATTCTTTTTAATGGTTTCCTGATTGTTTCCGATTCTTTTTAATTGACTTCGTCGCTTTTGCTTTTCTATCATCTCCTGTAGATGTATGTTTAGTGTTGTGGAAAATGCGCCAACTAAACTATTTAATTTTACAAGTTATCCGCCCGAGTGGCTTCAAATCTCAAGTGAGCTTTAAAAGAAAAGAATTTATTCTCTGGTTAAATTTATTGCATGTGTATGTGCGGTGTTTTTGTATGCAATAATTATTAATTATTATCACTTCGGCGATTTTGTTTTTTTTGAACTCTTCTATATCATTGCCATTCCCTTTTCCTATTCTCTTGAGTTTACACCACGTTTTGAATGCCGTTTTGGTGTTTTCAATTGCAGAATTCCAAAAGAGGTGCAGTAAACGAAACTAAATACTACGCATATCTCCGAACCCTGTCTTTAATAGTAAATGGCAGTGTCAGCCTAGGAAAAGAGGGTAACATTTTGAGAACTTGAGAAAAAAAGGACTGTACAATGTTTTCCTCGTTTTTAAATTATATAAACAATCATTTCAACAATGAAATTATCATTATTATTAGATAAGTGCTGTGGAGTTCCGCACAGTTGGCCCTCAAATTGCTTCAGCTATAATATGCAAAAAACCATTTATTTATCCTTTTTATCCTCTTCATCATGCTGTTGCGTGTTTTCTATGTCTGTAAACCAATAAGTTAATCAATGAAATAAAACAATGTTGCATTGCATAGTAACAATCAAAAATAGTACGTTTTTAGTTAATATCTTACGACTTTAAAAGTCTTTACAAAATTTTACAACGGTGTAGTTTATTTGCAGTTTAACCAGTTTAACAGAATTATTTATGTAAAAAAAAAAGAAAAATAAATTAAATTTCTATTGAACGAAAATTTTTAACTTTTCAAAAAGAGACCTTTGAAATTAATATCGAAGGTGAATATACAAAAAAAAAAATAAAAGAGTAAAAAAGTTGGTCACCAAGGCTACCATTTCTTTTTTTAAGGAGGCAAACTAAAATCAAAATAAGAAATAATAATAAAGGATTCGCATAATAAAATCCGTAAAAATGGATAAAACCGTTCAAATTAAACGGACTAGCATCGCTCCAGGCGGCGGTCGTAAAAAATCCGGTCCGAAATTCGAGCTATCCGAAGCTCAAAAATCAGATATCAAGGAAGCTTTTGATCTGTTCGATACCGAGTCTACTGGATTTATAGAAATAAAAGAACTGAAAGTGGCTATTCGCGCGTTGGGTTTTGAACCAAAAAAGGAGGAAATCAAACGTATGGTAGCGGAGATTGATAAAGAAGGCACAGGACGGATAAGTTACGATGATTTTTTGCACTTAATGACCATGAAAATGGCCGAAAAAGATACTAAAGAAGAAATACTTAAAGCATTCCGCCTATTTGATGATGATGAAACTGGAAAAATTTCGTTTAAAAATTTGAAAAGGGTTGCCCGAGAATTGGGAGAAACACTGACAGATGAAGAGCTGCGAGAAATGATTGATGAAGCTGATTTGGATAACGATGGCGAGGTTAATCAAGAGGAGTTTTTGCGCATAATGAAAAAGACTAGTTTGTATTGAGAAAATAGCAAAAGAGGTTTTTCTTCTTACTCTTAAATTATAGCATTTTTCCGTTTTTTAATTAATGCTTAAAAAATACACCGCTTTTTTTAATTTATTTTTTAAGCTAATGTTATGACATAAACATAAGTTTTCTACAAGCACATATTAAAAATAAAAGTAACTAAAAAAAATGGAACAGAAGTGAAAATTGTTCACGTCGCTTCGAAAAAATACAATAATGCAGCGTTTTTTCTGTTTAAAATGAAAACAACTTAAACTGGAAAATCGAGTACACAAATAAAGAAAAACAAAGTTCTAGTCGCTTTTTTATTTTATTTATTTTATTGTTGGTTCAGAGCCAAAGGCCACTGGGCCTTTTCCCCTACATGTGAGCAAATGTATGTGAGTAGTAAATGCTATTTCAAATTTTACAAATTTAGGAATATTCATTTTGAATAGTGTTATATGTTGTTCCCACATATTTTAATTAAATAAGTTCAATAAAAACAATGAAGTTTTCTTTCCTACCGGCGTTTTCACGATTAAAGCGGACAGACAGTCTCTAATCATCGCTTTCACTGTCTTAAAAGGGATTGGTAAATAAAAGTTAGCGATCAAACAATATTTTGCGTCCCGGATTATTATTAGTCACCAAAAAGCTAAGGAGAGATTTGGCGCTGAAAGTTATACCCATGTTTCAAAAACCTTTTTCTATTTGTAAATTAATTGAGCCAACAGCATGATCGGCTTATATTACAACGAAAATTGAACATTAAATTCTTAATAAAATCAATTTATTTTATTACCTCGTAAGAATGCACATGATGTTGATAATATATGTATGTGCACTTAGTTATTTAAATTTACGTTTTAATTAGCCAAATTGATGCTTTTTACTATTTTTTTAATTAAAATTGTAAACTTCAGTTCTTATATTTTTACATCCACAACAAATTTGCTTCGGAAAGAAAAATTATTGATATTGACAATTGTTTTGTATACAAACGCGTATATAATTAAAAAGTATTTACAAATGCCTGCGTTAACAAGCTATGGATTTTTTTATGTTGCGTGTTTGCATATTTAGAACAATTTTGAAAACTTAATCATAAAACAAAAAATAAAATTTAAAATTGTTTGCAATTGCGCTAAGAATATAAGTGAAAACATTATATGATAACTTTTAATTTAAATTTAATTAAAACTGATTTATTTTAATCATTAATACAAATAAAAAATAATTCAATTCATTAAATTAAAATCAAATTATACCCCGTTGTGAACAGGTTTTCGTTTTTAAACTAACGCTACACTCTATAAAGGAATACTTAACGTGTAAAGAATGTGGGATATAAAAAATAATATAAAGAAATCTCCTATCAATGCGTTTACGTATAAAAGAACGAACGCAATTCAATTACTCGAAATCAGAGTCATCATCATCGACATCGCTTTCCACCATAGCGCGTCTCTTCTTTTTCTAATGATTAAACCAAATTAGTTCATGCTTTTCTAACGATATGTACAGCATTTACCTTTTTATCGTCTTCGCTGTCACTGGGGGATAAGGCCTTTTTATGAGGCCTTTTGCTAAAGTTTTTGTTTTTGTTGGGAGAAGAGTCCGAACCACTCATCACATCCGAATCCTCATCGATAGTGATTTTTGCTATGTTCTGGGTATCCTTATCAGCCTCGTTATCTTTAAAAATCAACTCATCCTCGTCGGTACTACCGTCTTCTTCAGATGCTAGTAATCCGGAATAATTGATTTTCTTGGATGTGGCACGACGGCCAGGACGATCGGAGCGCGGTGCCACCGAGACATTCATTTCAACATCACTACCCGACATAGCAGCAGCACTTTCCTCATCACTTGCGTTCGCTTTTTTTTTGCGCTAATGTTTTGCAAAATAGAAATAGAATACTTTTATTTTGGTTTTTGAGAAATCAAGCTTTTTATAATAGTTTTTCTTTGTTATTGCCTTCAAATGAAATATTTTTATTAAGACTTGCGCTTTTCAACGAGTGGATGCTGCGCGTTAGACCACCTAATTGAGGACTTCTGACCTTGCCACTATTAACTTTTACAATACAACATGATATCTGTTTGAAAAAGCCAAACATTCTATACATTACACCAAGACATTTCTACCGCACTTTTTGAGATAAAGAATTTCAACGCCAAAGTAACGAAAAGGTTCTCTTTGACATAAATAAAACAAGTAAGAAAATTGTATTCGATCGTCGCCGAATCTTTTGTACCCATCATCGTTATCCCAAACAAGACAAGAAAAGGGAGAAAACTAAAGTTTCATGCTCTAGAATATCGAGTCAGCACAGCTGATTTTTTCTATTTTTTATCGAATAGACATATGTGCGTTGCAAGCATGTTCTCGGAAAAGTCACTTCCAAATTCTTCTGAAAATTTGTAGGCGGTATCTCCATTTTCATTGGAAAGACGGAGAGATGGACGGACGGACATTCGAAATTTGGATCTGCCTAAAAATTTGTATACTTTATGGGGTTTATAAAACCTATTTCTGCGCCTTATAAAAGTATTGAAATAAAATATTGATACACTACAATACTATTTAGGCGCGACCAATTTGTCATATTTGTGCATGTGTTGCCGCATCGTTAGTAGAATATGCGTTGAAAATTTTGTACATTAATTATCTGCTATAGTGTATGAATAATGAAAAGCAGGTGTTCTCAGTTTACGTGGCTCTGTGGGCATGCCCTTCGGTGCATGTGGAATATTTTCAATACCAACATGCGTGCAATAGATTCAATGCTTCTGTCAAATTTGAAGTCTATAGACGCTTTTAACGGCGAGCAGAATATTTACAGCAGGCATTGCACAGACGGACTTAAATCCATTTAGGATTTGATGGTGATCAAATATATATATACTTTGTGGTGTGTCTGGTGATTCCTTCTGGGCATTGCAAACGTTTCGACAAAATGAATATACACCCTCGTACTTCAGTGATGTGTGTAAAAAGTGCAGCGGAATAGAATGTTAAAAAGGTGAAACATTTTTTAAAAAGGGGAAGAAATTTCCAATTAATCTTCGAGTTTTAAAAAGGGGAAGAAATTTCCAATTAATCTTCGATTGTCGAGAAAACTTTGAAACCCTATTGAAAAGTTTCGAACAAAATCTTGTTCCTAACCGAACGTTAATATTTTTTTACATGTAGCATACCCCTTTTGGTTTGAAGTTGAGTTTTGATTGCTTTAGGCCGTCTTCTCCACCATTAACTTTCTTAGTTCGCGCTTTTCTGACAACAGGTTCTTTCTTTACTTTGGCCGTCGCTGTTTCACTTGGGGAATTTTTCGGTCCTTTTGTTCCACCCTCTACCAAAGCATCAAATTCGTCTGCCTCTGGCTCCTGTTTAACACCGTCTTTAGTTTTCTTATCAACCTTCTCTTTTTTAATTTTGGCGTTAAGTGCGGCATAAGCCGATACTTTTTTCAATAGATCGTCAGTGACCTTAAATTCCACCTTAATACCACGAGGATCAGGAAAGACGTCGGAATTTTCCTTTGCACTACCCCGCTTTTTCAAAACAGCAGCTGACGCTGCTTTGTTTTTGGCTAACGCCTTCGATTGCTTCTTATTTATTCCTAATTCATCGAGTCGTTCTTTTTCCTCGACCTCATCTAGTTTCTTTTCAAATTCGTCAAGATCGTCGAGCCACAGCATTTCAATAGTTTTGTTCTTCAAAGCAGCCAATTCGGCCAATTTTTGATCCCGTTGTTTTAACAACTCGTTTTTACGCTCATCAGTCAACATCCACATAGACATGCCTAAGAGGTAATCATACTTCTTAACATCGGTGAGCTTACGAAAGGCTTTCTCTGGATCTACTTCCTTTTTCTCCTTTTTAACAGTACTACTATTGGCATCTTCTTCTTCTTCATCATCATCGCCCTCCTCTTCTTCTTGCATATTTATGCGTTGTTGCCATTCTTTCACTGGATCTGGACGATATCCCCGTTTAACTAGTTCATCAATCATGACTTTGCGCTTCTTATTTTCCACCACCAAAGTACGATCACATTTTTCCATAATAAAACGAGCCTGGTCGGTAAGACGATCAGCTTGAGCAGCCAATTGGCCCACCAAATATTCTTTTCGTTTACCGTAAAACTCCAGCCGCAAGGGGAAGAAAGCTCGCAAGATATCCAACGGAGTGGAATATCGTTTCAAGCAATTCGATTCATCGAAACAATGCATTTGATTTGTTGACAACAAAGAACTTAGTTTGAAGACACGATAAAAACCGCCTTCCTCGCACTGCAAGCGTTCAAACTCACCAGGAGCAAAACTAATAACAAACCGAACTGTGGTATCAGTATGATATTCACGATATTCATTAATTATAGCCTTTTGCTTTTCGTTTCCATTTGAAAGCGGTTCTAGAACATTTTCCTTATATACTTGAGTCCATGAGCCTATAGGCAATTCAGAAATTTCAATTTTATTGCCTTGTAAAATTTGAATATTTCCAGAGGTTACGTAACGCCCATCAGATATGTATTCAATACTACCGCGATAATTCTTATACCTAAAACAAATACACAAATTAAAGGAAATAAAGTTAGAAAATTTGAAAGGAATCGTAAAAGACGCAAAATCAAAGACAAAACAAAAGAATTTTCATATTCGGTTTAAAATGATGAACATTCTTCAAACCACCATCTCAATCCTTTACCTTTTCACAATAAACGCAATTTCTTAGATTTGTAAAGTGTTTGAAGGCATTAAAACACATATCGAATAAGCCGAGATGTGTGCACATTTGATTAGTTTAGATAAATGTATTGTATTGAGTTACCTCCGCCTATCTGACTAATTCACGATTACGATTACCGAACTGCGGTCAGAAGAATAAACTCCACTTCTATGTGTTTTTTTATTATTTTCACTACTAAGTTTGAAAATCTGGGAAATACACAAATGAACTCAAACGCAATCTAGTCTTAAATTAACGTATTATATTCTAGAGATATTACTTTAAAATAAAAAACCATAAAGCTCGCCAATAAAGAGAATATTGCTTATATTACAATGTAGAAACTTTTTTAATTTAATCTCAAACAAAAAATTCAGAGTTCTAACAATTAAAACACATCGCAGGGTTGATCGACATACCCGCGTATGATCAACGTGTTTGCGAGTTATCTTATACCTATTTCTAGGTAAGATTTCTAATTTCACAAAAGGGTCTAAATTACCTTCCCGCAGAATTTCGCTCCATTTCTAAATTAAATGGTGAAATAGACATTGAAGAGGCCCTTTTTATGTGCCCATGGATCAAGTGAAACCTATTTTCTCTCTAAACTTTAAAGCGTAGAGAAGAATTTTGCTTGTAGCTTTAACATATGCGGGGATTATGAAAATTGTTCTAAAATTGAATTTCTTACCAAGGATGCATAGGCAAAGGCTCCTCTTTCGCCAACATGCGCCTTATATTGGCCAATAGATCTCGGGGATTATGGTTATGAATTTTTGTAGACCAACCGGTTCCTATACCATCGGCTCCATTAACCAACACCATTGGTATAATTGGAATATACCATTGAGGTTCAATCTTTTGACCGTCATCTACTTCGTACGTTAACAACGCATCATCGGCAGGATGAAATATAAGACGTGCTAACGGGGACAAGATAGTAAAAATATAACGAGCACTAGCACTATCTTTGCCGCCAGTTAAGCGGGTACCAAATTGACCTCTTGGCTCCAATAGGTTTATATTATTCGAGCCCACATAATTTTGTGCCAAATTGACTATAGTCATTTGCAAAGACACCTCACCATGATGATAAGCGGACATTTCTGCCACGGATCCAGATAACTGCGCAACTTTTACTTCTCGTTTATCGTTACGTTTGAAACATGTGAATATTACCTTACGCTGACCAGGTTTAAAGCCGTCAACTAGACATGGTATTGACCGCACATTATCTGCGTTTGAGAAAAGAACCAGCTCAAGATTTATAAAATCCGCATAAGTGACATGTTTGGTTCCTTTCGTATAGAGATAACGTTCTGGTAGGCCCAGAGCCTTACGTCTCTTAACTTCATCCATATGGGAAGTAAGCCAATCTTTACGCGTCTCCACGTGCTTCTTGGCGAAGGCCATTACAATGCTATCATCATCTTTGGAACCATCGTATTTGAACAGGATGCGATGGCGCTCCATATCTTGGAAATATTCTTTAGCTTCCTTAGAAGTGGAAGTACCCAAACCTGAAGTTTCATATTCATTAATAAATATGAAGCTTTGTGGGAGGTGCCTTAAGATACGTACCTTTGTAGTATTTGATATTATAAGTTTGATGATTGGGAGTATCATTTTTCCATTCTTCAAATTCTGGCAATGAATAAAACGAAAGTTCTTCATTTTTCTTCGTAGCTTTAACAATCGGAGTTATAAACTCTTCCAGAAACGGTAAGCGTAACAATTCTGGCCAGTTTGTGTGAATGAAATTAATTAGCAAACCTTTAATGTGAGAACCATCTTGATCCTGATCGGTCATGATCATCACTTTACCGTAACGTAATGTTTTAATATCATCCATGGTTAGATACTTTTTCTTATATTGCAAACCGATGATTTTGCAAAGATTATTAATCTCAGCATTCTCGGCTAACTGCTTAAATGTGGCTTCACGCACATTCAGCAATTTACCACGCAAAGGGAAAACACCGTAAAAATTGCGACCAATAACACCTAAGCCGGAAACAGCCAAGGATTTGGCTGAGTCACCCTCCGTCAAAATTAATGTACACATAATGGAATTTTTAGTACCTGCTTCGTTAGCATCTTCTAATTTAGGTATGCCCTTGACCTTATGAGATTTTTTTCCTCCCGTTTTGGCTATATCGTTTTCTGCTTTGAACTTGGCCCAAGATAACACAGACTCTACTATGCCTGATTTGGCAAGAGCGGTTATAAATTTTTCAGATATTGTACATTTCGATCCGAAACTTTTAACTTGAAGGGTCATGTTTTCCTTAGTTTGAGAATCGAAATTAGGATTTTCAATTAAGCAGTTAACGAATACCCATAAATGATTGCGCACTTGAAATGGTTTAATGTTAATACCGCCCTTATTCTTCTTCTTTAAAACTTCCAACAATTGTTTGATAATATTATCCACCACATGATCAACGTGACGGCCACCTTTCGTGGTAGCTATGGAGTTAGCAAATGACACTTGTTGGAAACCGCGATCGGACGGGCAGCAAGCTATTTCCCATCTCTCCCCACATTGCTCATAAACAACTTTCACTGGCTGACCCGAATCCTCCTCATTTTTAACATATAGATCAATATATTCTTTGAAGTTTTTTATAGGCAATTTTTTCGTATTCAAATACACAGCCACACCTTTGGAAGAAGCTGCAATGTCAAAAGCTCTTCGTGACATCAAAGCTACTATGTCTTCATCCAAACGATCCATTTTAAATTTCGCCAGATCTGGACTAAAGGTAACCCTGGTGAAATCAGCCCCTGCAAAATCTTTAATCTTTGGTTCTCTGTCAGTTTTGGTCATGTTGCTAGTCCATGTTTGCTTAAAGCTTTTTCTAAACTTCTGACTAGCGGTCTCAACAGTAAAGCTGGTTGAAAATATATTACATAGTTTGGCACCATAACCGTTTCGACCACCCGTTACTTTCTTCTCGTCGTCATTAAAATTGGCACCCGTCAGTAAGTGACCAAAAATCATGGTGGGCACATATATTTTCTCCTCTTTGTGTATTGTCACCGGTATACCTTGACCATTGTTATACACAGATATAGTGTTTTTTTCGGGATCAATGTCAATTTTAATGGTATTCATGCTTTTGTCGCGTTGTTTGTTATCCGCAGCATTAACCAAGATTTCATCAAATATCTTATAAAGACCTGGAACAAAGTTTATTTCCCTTTGCACCATACGTTTCTTTTCCTCATCATAAACCCACATTAATTCCTTCGTGTGTTCGACGGAACCAATATAGGTATCCGGACGCAGGAGGATGTGCTCCAACTGCGATTTCTTTTGATATATTTGTTCAATGGATAGACCACTGCTTGTCCCCGCACCGCTCCCATTCTGCATGATGGATATCTCCTTCTTTTTTGCACTATTATTAAATTATTCTTGATATGAGTCAGTAAATTTTTATCGTACATTAATATGAACTACTTTACCTTTTTCGTAACTTTGAAGATTATCCGAAACTCCGAATATAGTGGAATAGGATATCTTTACCCTTGCCGTTTCTTCCGGCGAAACAGGCCTTTAGTTTGTAATGACGTTGGGTTGTACAGATTCCGCGCTTTATCCTTCTTTACTTGTACGAAATCTTGTTGATGTTAAAACTTTACGGAAGGAATAGTGCTTTCAGGTTTTGATGGAAATTTCTACACGTAAATGACTGTAAAAATTAAAATAAATAAGTTTTCAAATGCTTTTCAGATAAAAATTAATAAGAGGTACTAAACACTGGCCTCGCAAAAAAGAAGGGGCAACTCTATAAAAATTATAACAGAACGCCCATTAAAAGCGGGAAAATGCAAGAACACTGTCATAAGGTTAAATCTATAAAAACGCGTTGTTAACTAAAAAATCTGCTTAATTTGCATATAATTTCTATATTTCGCTAATAGTTGTAGCTGCTCCGTTTACACAAAGTTTGCACAGAGTTTACACACATATAGAGAAAAAACGCTTGGATCGCCATTTTTAATTCTGTGCCATAGCTAATAACAACAATGTATTAAAACGTTACAACAAAAATTGGGAAGTATACACTCTTTTTCGGTCGTGATAAACATACCTTTTTGACGTGAATAGTTTTACTTCATAATGTGTTTTACAAAAATTTTCACTTTCTTCTTTCTCATTAATTTAAAAACACTTACACAATTATGTATACGCAATTGCCTTTTGAAAATTTTCTTCTATATTCGCAGCAATGTCCGGTTACTTGTGAAGAAGAATTTTAAAATTAATAACTAGCCGCAATTAATCGACGAAGCGTCTGCCTTAACGTGTCTTACTATTTCTATGCTCTATTCGTTAATTATGAAATCCGGACAATGATGCCAGATAATAATAAGAAAAAGTAGGGTGGCAATCATTCTTTTTACGGCGTATTAAAAAAGCATCAAAAAATGATAGAGGAAATTTATACATTTACATAGCGTAATTTGAGATCATAAATATCAAATATGTGCTAATCAACTTTCGCGCGTTTGGTAGAGGTTTATCAAACTTTCTAAAGTTTAGACACGTTAAAGATCTGGTAAGGTATGTACAGTAGCTCACTAATGTCTACACAAAAGGCGAAAAATGAAGGTTTCTCTAATTAAAAATTTCGTTTGAGGGCTGGGGGTCAAAAAATACATTTTTTAAAAAACAAAAATAATAATTCAATATTTTTATTGGCTTAAGAAAAGACATGTAGACCCCCAAACTTTATATGCTATGAAAATCGCTGGCTTTTAAAACACTTCGAACTGTTTCATGATGAACGATAATTGACTTATATTTTCCTAGGCCTTCCGCACTAGTTTTGAATTTATTTATTAGAATTCTGACATTTCGTTTTTAATGCTTAAAAATTTTTTTGGTCGGCCGACGCCAATTTTTTGCGATATTTGTATTCGTGTAATCAGTAGTACGACTAATTTCAATTGTCTTTGTTACTGCCGCGTACGATTTTTCACCATTTCTCAACTTTATAACCACTTTTCTAATCTCTTGCGTTTTTGTGTTTTTTGTGGCAGAAGTTAATGTAGTAAAGAAACCCACTTAAGAAAATTAAGTGCCATTAAGATATTTTAATTTTTCTTTGGTATTTTCGCTGCGTGTACACTTTTCTGTGACATTTTTTGAAGATTAAGTTTCAATTTTTGCCTACTTCAAGTGACAAAAAAATACTTGAATTGTTATTTAATATAATTTTTTATCATATATTTTGATCCTCAATCCATAAGTACCGTTTTTAATAGGAGAAATGGTAAGTTTTCGTACTGTATGTGAATAGTACAGTCAAGTAAACATATTTAAGCAAAGATATAACACCTTGTTCAATCTTTTTTACAACACTAACAAATAAAACATGCTAAAGTATTTTATTAGATTTTATTATAGGAAGTTAGCAGGAAGTATTTCCACCGAATTTAAGGTAGGATGATAAAGCAGTGATTTTATTAGTGGCCACTTGAATTTTTCTTGGCAAAGATGTGCTTTAATACTATAGAGAAGATACTGTTTTTTTACGGGATATATAATTGTCAATAAATAAATTTACTAATTATTTCTATTACTTCTGCGAAGAACAAGAAAAGTTTTCTTTGATGCATGTTGAATGCTGCTATCTCAATAACTCGACTATATATATATATATGTTTGTCATTAAGTAAAAACATTCGTTTTTCATCATTTATATCATCCTGCGTGAATGTTTCACTATATCTCCTCATACTTGCTGTTAAACATCCAACTCGGTTTTTTATTAAATCTTCTTGATTCCTGCAAATCTCATTTTGGAAATTTTTTTAGCTTTCGTTTGGATTTTAAACAAAAGAATTTAAAAGAAAATGATTCTCTCTTGTTACCGAAGTCGGGCCGGAGTAAAAGCACGGTTAAAGGTAAAGTAAAAACAGCAATAAGGTTTTGCGGGCTGATTCAATTTTGGCCTTGTTAACGACTAAAACAAGCAAAGTTGCGTCCAGTTAATGTTGGTTTGCAGACATTTTGCGAAACGGTACAAGCACACGAAAGCGAAAAAATTTGGATAATCATAACATAATTCTTGATAGATAAATTTGGTAATAACTTAAAACGTTTTTTTTTTTGGCACTGAGTTGAACATTTGGACGTTGCTTTTAACAAATCTTAACATCTCTGCTTTTACGCGTTACCATGGCGTTACCACTGCTTTTTGGAAGGCGCGGGGTACCAAAAGGTGTTAGCTAGTATTCTCTCTCTTTTTGTATGCGTTAACATTAAATTTTCTAACTTTTCCTCGCAGTACAAAGTTACCTTATGACGTCTACTACTGTCTTATATATTTATATATATATAAAATATATAACCCATACACTATACTAAATATATAACCCATATAACCCAACTGTTTAAGACTGTTTAATTACATTTTATATAGTTTCGATCCGGAATTTCGCTATTTTTATCAACTGTTTACAACTGTTTACAACTGTTTAAGACTGTTTAATTACATTTTATATAGTTTCGTTCCGGAATTTCGCTATTTTTATCAACTGTTTACAACCGTTTACAACTGTTTAAGACTGTTTAAGACCTTTTAATGACATTTTATATACTTTCGATCCGAAATTTCGCTAGTTTTTCAAAGTGTTTACAACTGGGAATAAGTAATAGAAGTCATTTAAGTTCTTGCAAACAACTCTGAGCGAGTTAAACAGCTCATAATTACATTTACACTGACTAAGCTTAAAGTGCCTAGAGAAGCGGTTAGGGACATTAAAGCTTATTTCACCAAGTAATGAAGGCGAGTCAATAGCACCATTTATTACTTTGATTACGAAGGAAACTCCAAGAATAAATCTACGTTTCGTGAGAGACGGTAAGGACAGCAGAAGCATGGTGAGAGAGGGTTCAAAAAATTTCCCCAGCGGATCCAAAGGTTTCATGTAGCTTTCAATGTAGAACGTCGGAATGCTATTACTAAGCGACTTATGTCGAGAAGTTTTAAAAATTGCAATTTTTTTTTACCATAACTCGGAATCCTTAGCAAATCAAGAATATAGTAAGGTTTTTTAAGGCTATTACCTGTGTTACAAATGGAAGAACAAATAGACACAAAAAATCTGAAATGTCCTACTTACTTCAAAGCCAAGAAGGAGAGGGAAACTTCCTTTTAAAGTAACGTTATGTTTTATTTTCATTAGATATCTACTTTTTATACAGTCTGAAATTTTGTTTAATATAAAAATTGTTAGTATAGATATATGAATGGTTGAAGAGCTGTCTAGAATGCTAAAAGTATGCAAAACTGACAATAAATACGCAATTTTTCTAGCTTTTATATCCAATACGGTTGGTTGAAAATCCAAATTGTCTCAAGGAGGAAACTTTATCGTGTTTTTCGTTTTACGAAAGCTCATTAAAAAAACTATTTTCCAATTCATAATGATCTTCCTTTTCCACAATTTTTTTTTGGAATTCTTTAAAAAATTTACCATGCGAATTCGAGTTCCAAGCCTCTTCCCCATTTAAGTCTTTTAGGGCGAGTTCTGGCGTAAAGTGATTGTAAGTACATTTTTGATATTTCAACTGATTATTAGCATTTACAACTGATGGCTCAATGTGATACTTTTCTTTAAAGAAATCATAAATTTGTTGCTTTCTGGAAAACGAATTAAATTCTAACCGTGGTTTTTTTTTCATATTACTGCTCCACATAAATGTGAGATGATGATGGAAACACATAAACTGTAAACTACTGTCTTTTTGTGCACCTACGTTTAGCCAATCCTGAACACAGTTTAATGGTGTTGTGTTGTGATTTTTGTAGCATGGATTAAATAATGCAGGATTAGATAGAAGACCGCGCGCTACCATTATCCCATCAGCGTCGGTTTGTTCGTGTAAATCGCATGCTTCCTGCCAAGTTCGCACACCGCCGTTGGCAACTAGGGGTATCTGGAGGGACTGTTTAACATCCTGTATAGCTGCCACATTTAGAGGTTCTGACGATTTTTGCCACATATTACGCCCATGCAAAGTTATGAAAGAGACACCGCATTTTTCGAGTTGTCGAGCGAAATCTACAGTTGAGTCTAGTCCCTCATTATAGAATAATCTCATCTTTACTGAAACGCTAAAATCCTCCTTTAATACTCTCCTTATATTGAGTATAATATCCTTAATTTTTTCAGGTCTTTTAAGTAAACCGCAACCGTAACCTGGAAATAAATTATAAAAGGCTACTTTAAACGATAAACCCTTTCTGCATGATGTGTTAACTATGGCAAATGTAGGTAAATGTAGTAAGTAAGCAAGAAAATAATTTTAATTTCATCGTAAAGTTAAAGAATTGCTATGGGTATCCAAGTCATGAAGCTCTTCAGTGAACCTGAACACCGACTTTATACTTATATATAGTCGCCAGTTCAGAAAAGGAATTAATCACATAAAAATCATCTAGTATTCGTCATGGCACAGCGGTTCTACTCGTTCTTTTGGAGATGTGATAGAAATTTCCTGTGTTCCAAAGAGACAAAAAAAAGACCAAACGTATAAGCAATTATTTTTTTATAGTTTTGACACAATTTGATAGTTTCTCCTTCAGAAGGTTTATATAATTTCCATACATTTTATTACTTAGATGCCAATTCGATGGAGATGTACTAATTTATCTTCTGCATCTCTCATGGATCATATAACACATACATGGTCTTAATTAGCATTCATAGTATCTTAAGTCCCAAGTGTTTTCCCGTGATATATTTAAAATCATTTAGTTGCCTTGTAGAATGCCTACCTTTCGATATTGCCCATGACTGAGGACAACCACAATTTAAGTCCACTCCGTCTACATATGGATAAATAAGCTGGGAAGCATTTGAAAATTCTGTGGCATTCTTTGCTGCGAATTGTGCTATTACCGGATGATCGTCTGAAGATGTGCGGAATTCATTTTGTCGAGCCTAAAAAATAATAAATAGTTTATTTAATAAATTAATTATAACCCATATATTATATATTATGTTAATTGCCTTATCGCTATTTATAAAGGAGTCTGCTATTATCATAGGAGTAAAACACAATTCCACGAAGTTCTTCCTTAAAAGATGACGGAATTCCAATTTGCTGTAGCGGACCATAGGAGCACTGACTCTTAGGAAACCATGTTTTTGGCGTTTCGCTTCCTTAAACAAATCCAATATATTGCAGTGACTTCGTTCAGTAGAATTCATTGTAAGAACATTCGCTTCTTAATATTCAATATAAAAGGTATACGTCTGTTTTCAACATATTACTTGTCTGCAAAAACAATTAATTATCAACTTCAAAGCCGTAGACATTGAAAAAGCTAGAAAGAAAAACTGTGAAATGTCAAATCGGTAACGCCGCGATATTCTACTGTGTAGATAAACTATGATTTGTATTCAAAATCAAGCAAGGACAAGTAACTGTAATTTTAGTCGGGCAAGGTAGACTATTCAATATCCTACACCACTTCGCCTAACACAATTTAGTTCTCGTTTTTTTTTTTTTTGGCGTTATTATTATTGTTATTGTTATTCAATAAGAATGAAATTAATTACAATGCTTTGTACACAAATCAATCGTGATTAGAAAAGGAAAAATAATACTAATAAAAACAATACAAGAACAAGAAAAGAAAACAGTTAATTTCTTGATGTAATAAAAGTGAACCATAACAAACCGTAACAACAGCAACAACATTGATCAGGCGTTGTGATATAAATTTGCACTTTTTGCTTCAAGAACTGACGCCGTAGTCAAACCGTAAAAATGAAGAGACCTTATAATTACTGCCAGTCTGCGATATCCTAGTAAGCCAATAATTGCGGGTTATTCTCCACGTATGGACATGAACATCAATTTCACTCAATCAAAACAGCGAATTACCCTCACCAGATAGTACTTTTATAGTAAACCAGACACCTATTCAGCTACGTTTACTCCCCAAGCTTGGAGGGTGAATAAATTACAGACGACTCCCGTAAGGGGGCAATGATACTGCCGTGGTCAATTTCAAACCCCGCAAAACCAATTTTATAAAAACTTTATGCACAGATTCAATCTGATGAATAGTCCCTACAGTTTGGCGACCACACAACACGCACCCTAACGGAACTCTCCAATAGATGCCTAACAAGTGCGGTGAATATTCTCTTACTGATATAAGGGTCGTTAAATTCGCACGACCAACGTTTAAAAAACCCCAGCAGAACTTTCGCTTTGTTAAAGCACGCTTGGACATCAATTTAGAATCGAGTATATTCCTCAAATCCACGAAGTTCAAAGCAGAGTCCAGCTTATGAGTCTTTTCATAATAGTCCACAGCCAACGAGCTCCTCCTCAAAACTTTAATTTTTTGCTTTTGCGATATGCTACTACATTTACACCAACCATAAGGTTCGGAAAACGAGACGCTTGCTCTCTTCCCAGGTTCAGAACTTGGGAGGAGAGGAAGCTAACTTAGCGTCATACGCAAACATTAGGACTCATTCATGAAAGCCTGCATATTGGAGGATGCCTAAAACATAATATGACGTGATCCAAAGTTAACAAATTTAATTCACTTCCCAAAAATTGTATTATTGTTTAAGTTTCCTAATAGAAAACTAGAAATTATACTTTCCCTTATGCTTGCCATTATAACCCTTATATTAAGTTCTTTTGCACTGTCCATTGTATTGGCTCATAGTTTCAATTGTAGAAATCAAATAAGAAGATGACTTAAAGAACACTGCAATTTCTCTAGGAACTGCTGATGAAAAAAAAAGGGAATACAAAGCCGCAAAATATTGAGAATGTTGAGCTGCCACGCTCATAGCAGCCCCGTTGGGTCCGCGGAATACAATTGGGACATGGATCTGCCCCAATATATATAATCTTTTTTATATAAATGTATAAAAAGTATGCATTCATCTCCCCTTGTACGTCTCCTCAATAGTTTTATACAATTTTTATAGGCGTGGCTTTCGATTTTACCCTATTTTCAAAAATAAAATGATAATTCTTTTCATATATTCATACAAGTGGTTGAAATATAATATATAATCTTTTTTATATAAAGGTATAAAAAATATGCATTCATCTCCTTATATTACGGTTTAAAAAAACACATCTATGTGATTCAAATTCCCTAATGATTAGTTTTTTAGTAAATTTGGTACAATGGACCAATTTTATTAAAACTTAACCCCTTTCGTAAAGAGTTTACTATTCATGAGAAATTTTACATCGAGTGGGGTCCAAGAAATAGACCTACGTGGTTCAAATTTGATCCACTTAGTTTTTATATCAAACAATTGTATTATCATGAACGAATTTTCATTATAAAACATTAAAAAATAGGCCTTTTTGGCATGTAAGGGTTTACATTTCCTGAGAGTCCTTATATGCGGTGGTATTCCAAGCCTTCGGTCGGTTTTGGAAGGTTGATTTCTTTGTCAATTTACTGATATGAACCAAATTTCGCCATGAAATAGTAAAAATGAGATTTCTATATAAAGAAATTCTTTTGATATAAAGATTAAGCTTTCATGGTCACGGGTTTATCAGACGGTGTTCAAAAAATTTCCGCATCCAAATCAAATATACATGAACAAATAACAGACGCACGCACGGGCATATAGCACAATAAAAAAGAGGTCTATCTTAAGTCCTTGTGGTTGTTACACACGTCGTCATATTTAATATATTCTTTACCACAAGGGTAGGGTGTGACAAAGTTCTTGTAAATTCCTAAGTTTCTTAAATAAATTCCCACTATTTGTCCGTTTTCAATAGCACTATGTAAATAGTGGAAATCCGCAATTATTTATTAACCTTAAAGAAATAAAAGAAAGAAAAAATCAACAAAAGAAATAAAAGTATTCCAGCTAACTTTTTTAAGTTTTTATTATTGTTGAATAATTATAGCAGAAGAAAATAATGACTAATTTTTATAGAAGTTACATGTTTAGTATTTAAAGATATTCAACGTGGAAACAGAATTCAGTTCAATTTTAATAGATAGGTATTGAAAATCTTCGTTCTATTAATTTAATAAAATTAAAAAAAAAAATAGTCTGGAAGCCATGCATTTTTCTATACCAGACACACAAGAGCTGTATGCAGAACGAGCGGGTACAAGTTATACAGCTTATAACATTTATATTAATGGTTGTTTTCACGCTTGCTTACGTTATAAGCAATTACATGCCTTGCATGAACAGTTACGTAGGCGTTGCTTGGAAATGGGATTGGAATTGCCAAATTTCCCACCAAAGAAACTTTTACCCTTAACTAACAACCAAGTAGAAGCCAGGCGTGCAGCTTTAGAACATTACCTCCAATCAGTCGGCCAAGACAACAGAATCGCTAAATTGGAAATCTTTCAAAAATTTTTGCTAACAGCGCAATTAGAGACATCCACGGATATTCTGGAAGAATGGTTTGGTTACGGAAATGACAGTTCAGAGGATCAAAATGAAGAGGATTTTATGGCAACTGTAACTTTGGAAGTGATGCTACCGAATAATTATCACATGCGGATAGAATGCAGAGTTTCAGATAACGCCACGGCTCTACTGGCAAAAACATCAGAAATATTGTATTTGCCTTCAAAGATGATGCATTGTTTTTGTCTATTTTTGGTTAGAAAAGAAGCTAATGATGCTATAGTGCTGTTGCGCAAACTTATGGATTTCGAATCGCCGTTTATTTCCCGTCTTCGATCACAACCTTGTCAAATACAAATATACAGAAACTATTTTAACCCGGGACTTGATTTGTTTGTTATGAAAGAACCTGTAGCTTTGAATTTACTGTATATGCAAACAGTGGCGGATATAGAAAGAGAACAGATTATTACTACGCCGGAGATATTAAAAAACTTAAGAATCTTGCAAAAGCATGGCCTAAAATTGGAATATATTGAATTGGCCAGACAATTGCCTATGTACGGTTGCTTACAGTTCTTATCTGCGCAGGTAGATTATCCAGAGCCGCAGACTATTGCTTCAATAGCTATTGGCAATAAAGAGCTTTCAATAAGAACTATGAAAGTGGACAAAATCTATGAAACCAAATTCCGTGTAACTCGCATGCGTTGTTGGCGTGTTACGGCTGTACATAACACTCAAGAATGTAAGGATCACCCCTACGATTTGCAGCTATCCTTCGAATATCTAATGTCTAAACAAACTTTACGTTGGATTACTATAAGCAGTCCTCAAGCTATGTTAATGTCAGTGTGTTTACAAGCTATGGTTGATGAATTACTCAACTACAAGGAGAACGAACCACTGGACGCTATTAACAATGCGAATGTAGACTTTACTTGCGCACAAACGCCTTCATCTTCATCCACGACTTCTTCGTCAACTCACACAGCAACCGAAAATAACCCTGCTAATACTTCTGTGGTATCATCACCTTCGTCCACAACCATGTCAAATTATGCTTCACAAGTTTTGTCATCATCACCATCATCGGATTCTCCCACTGCTCCAGTAAAATTTTTAACTCAACGTATACTCAATAAGCAGAATCCAAAGCTACCACAATCCCATTCCTATGGTGCTGTATTCTTTCGTAATTCCTGTCCGCAAGAATCGGTGCAAAATGAGGCTTTCGACGAGATTATAGGGGATGATGATTTGTAAAACAAAGGAAAAAATTTGACAAATATTGTTGAGGCAAAAGAAATGACGTTATTTTTGCGGATTGCAATTATTGAATAAAATGTTTTATATTCATTAAATTGCCAAGTTAGTAAAAAATTATGTTAAATATTAATTGAAGAAAATATTTATAAATTTTAGTCATTTAAATGTAATTCTTTTTACAGGGTTAAATTTACAGAATTTTGTGAAGTGTTTTCATATTAAATAAACGTTTTAAAGAGCAGAGGCAAACGGGTACAATTTATATGTAAATTTATTAGCAACTATACTAAAACGACAACACATAAGTTAAACTATCTACAAATAACAGAGAGAATTCAATTTTATTCTCCGAACGCTCCGTACCAAACTTTTTGATCGTTTGATCTGAATCATATGCAAGTGTGAGAATATTTTTAACTACAAAAAATCATTGTTTATTAAATTATTTTTTCGGTTTCAGACCATTTTTAATGTCTTACAAAAATTCACCTATAAATCGAAGTTTTATATATTTCTTTTTAAAGAATTGCAGTACGAGAAACTGTTAAAAAGTTTATGTTTAATCTAAATTTTGTTGTTGTTATGTTTGTTTACTAGTTTTATAAAAGCAAAACAAAATTTATAAGAGAACAATTTTTTTATTTTACAAATGAAAACTTTCATGAATGCATTTATTTAGACTAAAAAAAGAGACATTGAGCACTAGCAACACAGGCTATAATAAAAGTATTTAGGAAGTGAAATTCACAAAAATAAGAAATCTTTGGCTTATATTAGATTATTTAATATGTATTTTCCGAAAACAAATTGTACCATGTCTAGTCTATCACGAGCGGTCATTTGACCGTTTGAAAAATTTAAGTTTTTTACGACCATATTCTTCGATAATCGCGTTCTTGAAATTGTTTTACATTGTAGACAAATGTGCGGTTAGAATTTTTTTCGTTGTTATTGGAACAAAGAACATAACGTTTATGATTTATATTTTAGTTTTTACTTTGTCATTTGTATATTCATCCCCAAACATGTCAAGACATTTGAGGAATATCAATTTATTAGACAAAATAAATAATATTGACGAAGATTGTTCGGAAGATGATCAAGAAGTTTACGATATTCGTACTGCAGTAAATTATTGTGACTTATTTGACAGCAATGCGGACGAAGAGAATATTTTGAATATACGAAGAGGATCAAAAAGAAAGCGATTTATAGTTAGTTCCGAAAGTGAAAGTGAGGAAGAGATTGAAATTGCTATGGACGGAACTGTTTGGAAAAAAATAAAAGAAGGGTCTAACAGCGGAATATATATATAATATTTTCAAGGAAATATTATGACCGACAAAACTGTTATAAACCAGGAGCATATCTTGCTATAGATGAACAATTGTTTCCTACAAAAGCACGTTGTAGATTTATTCCATACATGCCCAACAAGCCCGACAAATTTTGCATAAAATTCTGGTTAGCTTCCGATGTAAGTAGTAAATTTATAGTAAACGGCTTTCCATATATGGGAAAAGATGAAGGTAGAGAATCATCAATCCCGCTTGGAGAGTTTGTAACTTTGAAATTATCAGAACCATATATGGGCCATGGGAGAAATGTAACAGTTGACAATTTTTTCACAAGCGTATCACTAGCGAGTAAACTTCTAGAAAAAAGAACTACACTTGTTGGAACTATCCGGAGAAATACAAGAGAGCTACTAAAATTAGCGAGACAGGCATAGGATAGTATGACACGCTTCTGAACAATTTTAGACAAATCGAAAGATTTTATTCTTACAATTTATAAAGCTAAACCCAATAAAAAAGTATTTATACTTAGTTCAATGCATTCATCCGTTGAAATTGAAAAAAACGACACCCGTGGACCAAAGACAATTAGATTTTACAACAGCACAAAATTCCGTGTAGATGTAAACGATCAAATGGCCAGAAAATATAGTGTAAAATCTAAATGTCAAATATGGTCTTTACAAGTATTTTTCAATATCTTAGATTTAGCCGGGATAAATTCTTGGATTTTATATAAAAAAACGACGAGTGAGGAAATATCGAGGCAAGAGTTTTTGTTTCAATTGGCAGAAGAACTTGGGACCGAATATCAGAAAGAGAAACAGATAAGCCAAGAATGCTCATCAAAAACAATAATAAATACACATACTGTTTCTTCTGAACGAAGATCTTGTCAAATAAGATATTGTTAAGTCAACAAAACAAACAAAAGTTGTATAAAATGTAAAAAATACGTATGCGGAAGATGTGCAATACAAAATGCTGTAATTTGTAAAAAATGTGGTGAAAATGCATAAAAGTAAATAAAACATATAACATCGAAAAGCGGGGAACGAGTTTTTATTGCAGCATCAGAAAAATATTTTGTTTACTAGTTATTTTACACATATTTTTTTTAAGCGGTTTGTTGACCGCTCATGGTAGGAATAGGTACACATGAAATGTCGATAGGTTTAGTGTTAATGTAGAAATCTTTTCGTGCAATTTGGAAATTTCTAAAAACAACAGCCATCAAAAGAGTAAACGAATTTCGTTTATGGAAAATGACTGTGTTGCAATCATAACAATTTTAAATGTGTTAAGTGCAGTGAGAATTTTAAATATGAATGAATTAATTATATTAAGTTGCAATCTTTTTCAGATTTCAATAACATACAAAGTTGTTAAATTCCGTGCGCACCATGAATACTGTACTTTTATACTTTTAAATTTTAGTTCGATAATTTTTCGTTCAATTGCATATATTTTCCTTCCCTTTGATCTAAGGTGGCCAACAACGCGAAATTTAGCCATTTGATTAATTTATTTAAATAAGCAAACTAAATTCGAGGGTCATTAGATAATGTTACTCCGAAGAGCCGTAGGATAACTTTATCTCTATTATTTTGTTTAAATTTTGAAAGTTTCGCATTTTTATATAATAAACTTTTGTCCAGTTCATAACTTGCAAAGAAATTATCAAATGTGATACTACGGTTACTATTCTGAAATGGTATGTCGCTCAAGATATTTCTATCATCCACTTACGATATCAATATATTTATGTATTTTACTTTAGATAATATTACCCTTGGTAACGTGTGTTAGATTGTTTTTACGTTCTAGCTCTGTATTACGCATAGCGAATTCAACCCCAATCGTTGGTCCCGATTTCAATCTGATTGTATTACGCGCAAACGGGAAAACAAATTATTTTTACTTATACCCGCGACACCCAATTTAAAAAGAACTGGAAATAGGCAATAATAAAATAAAATTTGCATGTAAAAAACGATATGAAATATTAGGTCAAAGAGAAAATTTTTTCGTATTTTAAAGTATATATTGAAGACAGGATAGAAGAAAATAGAAGATAACTTTGCACTGCATGGAGGCCCTTTATCCTAGAATTGGTATGGAAGTGACAGCTTCTTTCTGACCTCGCTCAAGAACAAAACAGCACACAATAAATCGTTAGTCTCTTTGTCACCAGATATAATGCACACAGTGAATACGCTCAAGCAAATGAGGCCTCATATAAACGCTCACTGATGCCGCGAAGATCAGTGTGAAAAAGGTTCGAACTCGCTGGCCACGATCTGTAATGGTCCATATGAGAACAAAAAGCAAAGCCTATTTACAAAAATATTAAGAGAGAGTAGCCAACAGCGACAGGTAGTGCGCAGGAAATAGATCTCACTACTTAATACTATCATTGGTTATAAAAACACATGGTCCGATTACGGTTAGGGAATAAATTTTTTTTAGTATTTTTAAATTTATTTTAATACTTTTAATACATTCATTTTTTTACATAAGCTAAAAAAATCGATGTGAGTAACTATATTTTATTAATAAATTGGCTACAATCGTATTTCGAAGTACAAAATAAAAGAATTAGTTGATCGGACTAAATTTCATTAAATAGGATGATTGGAGATCGTGCGCTCATCTAAGTTAAATCAAGTAATAAACAAAGACTTACGAGGGTTAGTAGTAGAAAAATAAAGCAAATTGTATGAAGCGACGTAACCTGGACGTACTTGCAAAGTAGAGCGGAGGAAGAGATTTTTATATGTATTAGATGTTATGTGGTTATTTGAAGATAATCCTCTTAATCGCTGCAATGGATCATGGTATAAGAGAAGAAAGATAATAATGACAGATTAGCATGCGTATACAAATAGAATAATATAAAACGCCGCTCCATTTTGCAAATAAATACGTTATTTTTACAACACTGCGTAGGTGCATCGAGTAGAAAAAGGTTGGAATGGGTTAGGTCGGTAGTATGTTTTTTGCAGCACTGTCTCAATATTCGGATTGTCTTATATCGACAAATTTGTTTTCTTTAAGTTGTGTGCTTTCCATAGAGAAGAAAAGTAAGCATCTAATCTAAAAGGTAGATCAGAAAAATAGAGGCGAAAACATTTAAGTAATTCTACAGAATAAAGATTTCAAAACAGGCGATCGGAATCATATCATCCAAATTAAGAAAAGTAATGAAATGGTTTAAAAAATTGAAATGTAACTATAAATGCTAGTAAAGCCCAATCAGATTATATTAGAGAAAACCATCGTCGATAATTTTTTACTACTCTTTTTTGTGTGTTTTATTTAGTTACAGTATTTTTAACTATTATACTATGTAATTATCGAAAAAATGTGTAAATGAAGACAGGTATTAAAAGACAAAAACAAAGAAAGCAGACAAAAAAAAAACTTGCAAATAAACAAAGCGTCCGCTTTGCGTAGCTGCTGCAAAAGACAAAAGAAATAATTCATTTGGATTCATTGGATTTTCTTGCGTGTGCGCGTGTATATGTTGAAATATAAACTGCAAAACAAAAGATAAATTAACTGATTAAAAAACAGGAAACTCTTAAGCAGGCAAATAATAGATTGCGTGGCTGGTAATTAAGAAAAAAATTTTAAAGCTGAAAATAAAATAAAAACCACAAAAAACAAGAATGGATCGTGGGTAAGTTGATATAGGCTATATATTTTATTTTAATGAGAGACTTTTTCCTTCGATTAAACTTTATTTAAAAAGCGTGAAATTTTCAATTATTTTTTCATGTTCTTTTAATTCTTTTATGTGTTTGGGCAAATTGTGCCAAGGTCTCTTTGTTGCAAAGGAATAAATTTTCTGCAGAGAATATTTGTTCCCTCATATTTACATTTTAGAGCTCGATGAGATATGAAGTGAGATAAAACATTTTATTAGGATTAGAATGCAGCGAAAAGAACCAAGATATCAGTTAAAAGAATTTGACTATGTTCGCAAAAATGATCGGGGCTTTCTCTTCTAAAAAGGCCTGAGAGCCGTTGCACTAGACAATGATTCCTAAATAAAATTTTTTAACTGAGAAAATATTTTTTATACCTCGCCGTGCCGCCGTAGAAAATGCGACAAGAGCTAAGGACCTGCATTTGACTTAAACACTGTTCTAACAGTCAAAGTGCGGTTCTTTTTATAAGTTACAAGTTAGAACCGTTATAGCAATATAGCGCCGAAAATTGTGCATAATCGTACGGGAAAGGAAATGATAAAACTCATGATTATTGAGTATTGAGTCCATGTTAACGTGCTTTGAAGCTGTAAGCTTTTAGAGTTCTGCAGTTCAATTAAATGAAGTACGCAGATTGACTCTTCTTTCATTGTTTTATCAAAAGGAACGAATACTAATTTTTTTGAAGCTTGCCGCGGTCGCGAATTACGTTACCAGAGCTTTGGTTAATTTCCAGTAAAAGTCATAATTTGCTACAATTTTCTTCCTTATTTCCAGGCGTTACTCTTATGTAAGACCGAACGGTGGTGGTCGCAACAATCATCATAATAATCATTCGAATTCATCATTATCGTCGTCCTCGTCATCCTCTCTATCGTCAGCAATAAATAATCACTACGACAATCATCATATGCCAACAAATCGTAATTCAAACAATTCAATCAGTAGTAACTTACACTACAACAATACATCATCTTCAGCAGTATATTCACAACATATGAGCAATAATAATAACACCAATAATACCAATATTAATAATGTGACCCGCGAATCGTTAACACAACATGACGAATTGATTCGTTACATTAGAGAAGCATGGACAAAGGTAAGGAACAATATATTTAAGTGCAATACTTACTTCAAAGTATTCTATATTCGTTGATATGCATTCCAAGATTTCAAAATTATCGAGATTATTGACATAATAGGATTCTTTTATTGCGCTGTTTTTCTACTCATTTCAATTTTTTTTTTATCGCAATGACAAAAAACCATCATTTAAAAATACGTTATATTAGGCATCAAGAAGTACAAAGAAATGTCTCGAACGGATAAAAATGCAAAGCGAAACTTTTGAATTTCATAGTTACACAACTGAAATACTTCAAATTTCATGAGAGGCTCTCATTTTAATTTGTACTAATAAAAATAAATAATGCATATTGGTAAAGTTACTTTTTTGAGACTGCTCTAAATGTTCTACCGTTCGTAGTCCTATAAGTTCAACGGAAGCAAAATAATTGTCTACCACTACAATCAAAAAGAACTATGATTTTCTTGTTTAAATCGTAGGGACGTCCAAACAAGTCTTTCTTCTTTCGTCACATTAATTATAACTTGACATATATCTATTTCAAATGTGTTGACATTTTCAGTGCGTAACAAAATACGCTTGTCCACTTTTATCTAAAAAATGAATTTTTCTTCTTTTACAATATATGAGACACGATGGCGTTTTGAGCAGATTTTACGTGAGAACTGGAATTGGAGTTGCGAAGTGCTTAAAAAGATTTTTAGTTCTATTGCAGAGGCAGTGTTTTCGATTGGTGTAGTTTAAGTAGCGCATAGAATGCGCTGGACGCGATTCCCCTATTCATCGTTGGTATTTATCGCTTATATCGATGCAATCGTCTTTGAAAAATCATTTGAACCTCGAACATTTTTCACAATAACGAATCTACTCACATTGTATTATTGATTATTCGAGACTTTTTTTGACCAGAATTTCAAGTCAAATAGTTCTGAAACTTCCTAGTTGTTCTCAAAATACAAAAAAATCGTTTAGTTATATCGCAAATTTCTCAAAACTGTTCGCGATTTAAACGGAAAAGCATTCCAACTTTTGGTCATAATAGTATGTCGAATAAAGGAAATTAGGAATTTCAGTTAATACCACAAGATCAAAACTTGGTGCAGTTGATATTTGTGACATCAAGAGAGAGTCAAGTTTAACGTTAACCATTTCATGGATTGAGAAAAATTCGTACTTAAATTCTCCAAACTTTAATGTTTCGTTTATATATTATTTCATTTAAGGTCAGCGAGCAAGGCACTCCAGTGGTTAACTGCAACGACTCGGATAATCAGTTGAAAAATTTTAAACCATTTAACCTGGAAGAGTACTGGGGTCGTCGAGTTGTGCAAAACATACACGTTTCCTCTCACGGACATCAATAAACTCCAATGTCAATAAAACAATAGCGACCGAAAAATTCATGCGGACTATTATTTCTCTTCTCCGATTATTAAACATATCCTTCTGATTTACTGATGCACTTGAAGAAACTTATTAGCAAACCGAACAGTTAGCGTTGTGTCCTAGAAGCCTTTTACAATTTTCAAAATCTTGTAGCTATTTCCGTCGTTAAAAAATGTTGTCTTTCTACTAACTCTGAAGCAGGAGAAAGCTGCAAAAATTTTCTTAAAATATTTTTTCGGTATTGGCAGTGTATAATAATTATAACCAGAATAAAAATAAAATTGAACAATTGATTTCACACATTTTAAATATCAACAAAACGTTTACAATATTTTATTTACCTGGAGTTTTTTATGTTCCCGCCATCGTTATTGCATGTGTCGTCTGTGAGAGCGCTAAAATCGGCAAAATCGATCTATCAATCCGACCACGTTGTAAAAACCTTTCGTTCAAAAGCAAAGAAATATACATAAGCGATTCTAAATCAAAGTGCTTGCAAAGCGTACAAATCTTGATTTGAGATATACAGGATGTAAACGGTAATATGCACAATGTAATCTTAAATATTGCATACAATCTACTCTTCCCAAATCGAATATACCATCTTTCGTGTTAATCTCGTACTATCATCATCATCAAAAACTCCAAGCATTAGTATGTTCTTATCACTTTTATATGTGAACATGCGGAAGAACGAAAATCTACTATATCCTCCGCTATAACTTTTCTTTATTTTATTTAAGTCGAAGATCGACAGAAGGAACAAGATTTTCATTGAAACATTGAATATGACAACATAAATAGTATGGAATATGCTTGCGCAACTATATTACCTCAGTTCGTGGAATAGAAAAGCTTTTCGTTGTTCATATATAAGTATGATAATAATTACTTGGTCTTTTTTTTACGAAAGCACTCGAAAAAAGGCGTATTAAAGCGTATTATACAAAAAGTTTGAAAATTTTGTAATTTGAAAATAATTTGAGATTAGGGCCAGGCCGTTTACACGCTTGATAGCAAAATCACTGGTCACACCGCACACTGGCATTGAAATGTGAGCTGACTACAAACGATAACTCTAAAGACGTACTCACCACATCTTACGAGAATAAGAAAGAAACCCCAAATTCACCGGAACTTTCAGGAAAAAGAGTACGAAAACATCCAATTTATATACCATTAGTAATTACCTACCATTTTGAAAAGAGATCAGTATTTTTGATACCGATGTTTCCTTCGAAATCAGACAGTAATTAGACTTATATGTTTATAATTACACAAATATTTTATTCCACAAATGTTTACTATTTTCGCGTTATTCTTAATTTCTTTAATAATATTTGTGGTCGTTTTAACTAAAACTGACATTTTTATACTTATTTCCTCCACTTTCATCATCATCATCATCACCAATAACTATACCAAATAAATTACTACAAAAACAAACTTCCATTAAGAATTTTGCATGTATTGTACGCCTTTAGAGAATAAGCGCATACAATTATCAAGAATTTTGCATGTATTGTACGCCTTTAGAAAATGAGTACAGATTGAGTACAGTTTAATGTTTATTAGTTCACTAAAAGAAAAACAGTACTACGATTGAATAATAACAAGCAGAAAGTACAGAAAATGTCATTGTGTGCAATTTATAACACAACAAACAATGTATGAACGTAGTTTGGTCAATAATTTGTTCAGATAAATTTCTTATGTACTAGGTATGATATACATTCATCTTTCCGCTTAAGATGCACTAACTAACTACATGAAACGTCGCCTCTGCAAATATTTTGATACATCACGTACTCTATTCTAAACTTTGTGTCAGGATTAAAAGTACAACAGACCAAGTATTCTGCATTTGCGGTCGTTTTTCTTTTTTTTATATTAGTGGACCGCAGCGAAAAAGCATGTTTTGTATATTTAATTAATTAGTGTAATTAAAATAACGCTAACATGAAATATATGCCATTCCACTTATTTTTCTAAACGTTTTCGCACTTTAGACATTTTTATTGGTAAGAGATTGACCATTTCGCGGCAAACGCCGATCTCTGCTTGCAAAGATTTTGACGCTTCTGCTAATTTTACGCACTCTTCGGTAAATGCCTTATAATACTTTAAACTATTTGACAGATTTTCTAGCTGTAGCTTTTGATCTGGCGTTATCATTTTATAATGCAAACGGCCTAAATGAAAATGAGAATAAAGCCAAGTTTTCTGCTCGTCAACGTCAATATTAGCCTTAATCGAACCATCTTTTTCAGTGTAGGATTGGATAAAGCTTTTAAAGTGTTTAATTGCATTTTGGCATACTTGATTAATTTTGTGCAATTCCTGAGGATTTGGTGAAGCAGTCGACTTAAAGCAATCCAACTTAATGTCCAAAATAGCACAGTAAGATAAACCAGCGCCATACCAACACTCGCGACAAATATTGAGATAAAACGAAGGATTAAGTAATTCCAACAATTCCTCATAGTATTTTGCACGACGCTTTTGCATTTTAGACTGATTGGAGGGATCTTCCTCGAAAAATGCCATTTGCTCATAAAGATCTGCGAAATCTTTAATAATTTTAGCATATTCACTAGCTTCGGTATCGGGTTTGTAATACTCTTTGGCTTGGTCTAACCATTTGATGACAAAATGGTAGACCTCCTTAGCATCATCGAAGGTTAAGCAATAATCACAGCTTATACGACTTTCGTAATTTTCTAAAGGCATATCTGGAGGGAAGCAGTATCTATTAGAATCAATTTGCAAATTTTTGGCATCTAAAAGGCAAAAAATAAACACCTTGAACAAAATCAGTTACTTATAAAAAGCTCACCAGTTACTAATTTTTCATCATCATCATTGAAGAGACGTTCTTTAGATGACGCTAATAAAGAGAGACCGTATTTGGACCAACATCGGGCCACATCCGCATAACGATGTTTGAATGTTTCTTGCAAATCCTGAAACTCCTGTTCGGATATTGAATTATCTGTATGCGAAATTTTGCTTTCATATTCAGCTATTATCAAAGTGGCGGCAGCCAAATGATGTCGAGCTTCTTTGAACATGTTTTGACCGATAAAATATTGCGATAAAGTGGCAGAATTCAAAGCAAAATCGATAGGCTCATAATTTTGCGCACTATATTGTCTTTTCAATGTCATATGACAATATTGAGCAGATTTTTCCAATTCTCCAAGATGGCCATAAACTTGAGCTAAATAAAAGCAGCATAAAGTGTATAGACTTTCAAATTCGTTAGTACCTTTATCGACTTCAATCTCTTCTGGAGTTCCAAAAATGTCTGTTATGCTCATCGGTTTGTTTTCACTCTTGTTAAACTCTCTATAACAAGTCTCAACTTCGCTTAGTAATTCCAAGGATTGCTTATATTCCATTCTATTTGCATAAGCAATTCCCAGCTCGTTGACAGCTCCCATATAAGCTATTATGGATTCTGGTCGGGTCTTCTTCCCTTTTATCAGATCAATGCATTCTCTAAGCGAATTTTCCCCTAAGCTTGTCTCTTCAGTAAACAAATAAATCCTACCAAGGTCCCGACAAACAAACGCTTGAATGACCTGATAAACTAAATCATCTTTACCATCATCTGCTTCTTCAGCTAAAACAGACACTAGCGAATTTTTAAGCATTTCTTTCATTTCCAATAGCAGATTCCTAGCCGTGTAGTGCGATTTATAGGGATCATCTGCTGGATCATTTTTACTTTCTTCATTTACGAGTTTCACTGCTTTCTCATAAATTTCCTTATAATCCGTAAGAATTTCTTTTGGTATGACCATTGCTACTGAGGCCTTGAAAGGACGAAATGACGATTTTTCATATTGATTTTTTTTTCACATATACAAACAAAACTACTCACTTTATCTTTTTGAAGTTTCTTGAAATGTAAACAAAATTGACAATTAATACTTGTGAAGCAAAGCTGTATGGATTTTACATTTGCAAAAAAGAGAAAGACATCATAAATTTCCTACTGATAGTTCGATTCAATATATCCCAAATACAATAGAAAAAAACAAACCAATTTTTGGTTTGTAAAAATTGGCTTAAAAATTCTGAAAATAACGAAGCACTTCAAATTAAAAAAATGGTAATTTAAGTCAACTTTGACTTTATATTCATACTTCCTGCTAGTTAATAATCATCATATGTCATGTGATCATTATGCAATGTATTCAATAAAACTGACTCTTGGTTCCACCGAAACTATGACTTCCACAAAAAGACACACTTCCTTTCAGCGAAACTACTTCCAGAACAAGCTGTATTTCGTCCCAGTAAAGGTGACCTTTTTTTCCACAAGACTTATGACGAAAAACAAAAAACACTTACAAAGGCAATAGAAGAGGAAATCACGGACTGTAACTTATTTTGCTGAACCTCATTTCTTTTTGTTTGTTAACAATACTGGAGTACAAAAAAGTATTCTGAAATGCTCGAAAAAAAAATGTCCGAGTTGATACCTGCTCTTTTCAAATATTGTCCCGGGAAGAAACAAATTTGAGCCCGAAAACTACTCCACAAGTAATATAATGTATTAAATGAATGTCTTTCGAAAACAGAAGGAAGAGATATGTAATTTTTCTTCAAAATAAAACATTCTTCTAGTTCTTCACGAAAAAAATTCAGCAAGTACTAAGAATCAAAATTTCGTTCCCGTTTGCATATAACATAGTTTTTAGAGCAAATAATTTTTCAATTTTATTGTATATATATATATAAATGTATATGCGTTTTAACAGAAAACTATGAATAGGTGAACAGTTCCGTTCTTTTTCATTTCATGACAAAGGTTTAACGCATAGTGTTACCATATTGCGACGATATCTTTACTTTCAACATATGGTATTTTTTATATTTGAGGAAAAGGAAATCCGCTAACGGTCTTTAAATGTAAAAAATCTCAAAGGGGAAAATTGGAAGTGAATTTCTCTTAAAGACGCACTAAAAAAAGAATAAAAAACGCCAAGGGCAAATGGCAATAAATGTATATAAAATTTGCTTCGATTCATTGTAGGTTCTGCTATTATTATCGTGACAGGAAGAGGTGACAATAAAAACGTTATCAAGGCTACCACCACTTAATATCTGCATTGCCCTAACAGGAAGAAAAACGCGTTTGCTTTTGTCCTCAGATCCACTAGCTTTCAAAAGGTATATGAATCTTATTACGCATCCGCATCCTCTATATATATACGATATAGTGATATAGACACAAGTCGATGGGAGCGTATAAACGACAGTGTCCATTCCAATGTAAGCGATTTGAACCATTTTAAGCGAACATGGTGTAATTTGTTTGCTTGAGATGTTAGCATCATCTCCACATTAAAACGGCTCGGTGGTATATAAAAAAAAAATTTTTATTTTGAAACTTTCCTTGTTATGTTTATTTCATAAGCACAGTTTACACCATCTTACGCAAGAGAGAATTTATCTTATGCTCACGATTTCCGAAATCCCCACCATCTACGTAATGATTAGCCTTCTTACGCCAGCCGCCTGTGGGCGTGTTTAGTTTAAACGGCCACAAAAAGTTGGCAGCATATTTGAAATTCGGGCCGACAGTAAATATTTCATGTACCATGTCCTCAACGCATTGAATATTGTAGGCTTTGCGCATCTTACGCTCAATTACGAAGTTGTCAGTAATAGGAATGCGTTGACGGTTATGTTTCACAAAACCACGCTTATAAATCAATTCTCGCACACTCTTTAAGTTTGGATAACCCCAGGTAATGTACGGCTCTGCGATGCGTAACATATTGATTGTGGCCTTGTTCAATTTAATAAAAACTCCATTATTAATCTGACGTAAACGGAACAATTGCAAGACTTTGCGTACTTTAGGCGCAACTTTATTAATACTAAAAATTAAGAATTGTTCAAATGTTCACATATTCATTTCAGCATTTTATTATTTATCTCATTGTTAACTCACCCACGTATACGTATAACAAATGCTAATCTAGCTTCACCCGGTACGTAGTACTGGCCACGAGCTTTGGCTAAACGTCTCAACTTTATTTCTCGTCTTTCGGCCTTAATGTATTCATTTTGATATTTCTCTGCACGTACCAAATTTTCACGTCTACGCAAAGCTATCACAGCAGCACGCTTCAATTTTCTCTTCGTTTCTTCAGCCCGTTTACCGATTTGCTTCTTACTGAATTTTAGCTTTGATTCTGGTACCGCGGGAAGCTTTTTAGCCTCAGGTTTTTTCGTAGTCGTAGCAGTCATCTGCGATAAGAATGATTTTTATCATTTTCTAAATAATTTCGACTTATTTTCAAGAAAACTGCAAGTGCAAATATGAGTCTCCACTAACCTTTACTTGTTACAACGCACGTTTTAGGAAGAAAAGAAATAGCGAGAGGAAATTGTTTTTGATGTTGTCAGTACCGTATGAAAATGGCGTAAGAATTATGTATACAGAGTTGTATATATGTCATAGATTGCTGACTTACCACCAATTACTGCTAACAAATTAAGTATTTCAAAAAATAATAAATACTTTGTTTGACAGAGAACAAAAGCATTTCGCCACATATAAAATAAATACATTTTCGTTATCAATTATCCGAAAGGGATTCACTAAATGTTTTAGTATACAAATTTACTAATAGGAAACTGTGGTCAGGCTAACTACGGCTAAAAACTTTGTTACATTCTTCTGTTCATTTTCTACTTTCTTTTTTTTGATTCAAATTATGGCAATAATTGCGTATTGTAGTTATCCATTTTTCTATTATCAATGCTTGAGTGTATCAATAAATTAACAATGGCAATTCTGCGGCTTCCTTTGCTTTGACATATATTTTGTAGACATTGTACTTATCGCATTTTTTACTTATCGCTCTTTGTATTAAAATTTGTCCAAAATTGCCCATTAGTTAAAAAAAGGAAAATGGATTGCCTTACTAGCCCTAGCAGTCCTAAATACAACACAACAATCGAACAAAAGTTAAAGGCACAAAGAGCCGCCAAATTATATCGTCGGTCATCACCTAAGCTACGAGATCTTTTGAGAGAGGTATTGATGAAAACATTGATAAAAATATTTGTAGAGAACTTTCTTGTTTATTTATAAGAAATGTAGGATACGTTTGAAAGAAGCTCGTCATATCTCGCATTCGCGCATGAGGTCAATAAATGAAGAAGACGAAGAACATGTAAGTGTTTAAAAGCTCAAAATAAAGTTTTTACGTTTACTTTCTACCATCATTGTTTGAATTCTTCATTACTACCTATAACTTAGTTGCATTTACATTTAGACAATGTAAAGTGATCTAGCTATTTCTCTACTCTGTAGATCATGTGAAGATATTACCTTTTTTTTTAAAGTGGAATGGCTAATAGTTTTGCGCAAGTTGTAAGGTGACTTTTTGGTTTTTGTTAAAAACCTTTGGGGATTTTAAGTGTCAAAGACACTCATTTATCTTGATTTCGTACACATACGGGAATTGCGTTTATCAACATTTTATTTCATTTATAACATGCTAGGCACTTCTTTCTAGGTTCCACTTAAAGACTTATTACGCCAAGAAATCTCCGAGTTGGACTTTGATATAAATCTACAGGAAGAGATTTATAATGAACTAATTGAAGAGATAAATGAATGGTTCGTAGAACAGCAAGAAGGAGAAGACAATTATTATGTGGAAGTAGACGAGACGAATGCGCTGATTTGTCCGGTTTGCCAGAAATCAACCCTCGTAATTTATTTAAATAAAGATAATCGCTATAATTACCGGTGCAAATGTAGTGCTAAGTGAGTAATGTAGTAAGAATATGTTTGTTGGTAACCAACTAATGATACTTTTTCCGTTCACAGTTTTTTCTTTAAGGAAGGCCCACAAGTTTTGCAATCTCTACTAAGCGACGAAATTGATAAACATGAACAGCTGTGTTCCAAACGTTTAATATTTTTTGTGAATCCTCTAACGCAACAATTGGAGATTATATGTGAAACATGTGATTATTTTTCCTGCTAGCAATTTGTCAAATTTTTTGCGTATATATTTTGTTTTTGGTTAATTCATATAATTAATATTATGTGAATAGAGTGCAAGTTTTCCTCTAAATCTCTCGTAAGTGCTTTATATTAAGTCCATTAATGTATTATTATAAACACAGCTAAGTACTCAAAATTCTTTTCCTAACATATACATTTTTGAAAGTCAACGTGTTACCTAAAAGTGGTTTTTTTAACATTAGGGATCAAGACTTTTTCCTAAATAAATTCTCGTTGTTTATTAATATTTCAGATTCAACTAAATTCCTTCTTGGTCAAAGCTGCATATTAAACAATAGCTTTCTCTACGTAAATTGTTTTGCCCTTTTTTTTCGTTTATACACTTTCTAAAGTTATTTAACAATATAGTAATTTCTAATGAAATATAAAATTGTATTTGGTTTTTCCCTTTTTTATTTATAATATATTTCTATTTTTTTGTAAATTTTCATTCGATTTCAATTTTGCACCAAGCACGTTGTCCACACTTTAGAACTATAATCAAGCTCCAAAGGTTCATACAAATCAAACGCATAAATAATGGTTTCTTAAAATAAACATTGTACAGATGCTTTTACCTCGAATTCCTATACCACCCATTGATTTATAAACATTGTACAGATGTTTTTACCTCGAATTTCTACACCCCCCATTATCATTAGAAGACCCACCAACACTATATGTTCTTGCTAAGATCATTACATGGAAAGCTAATATAAAAATTATCTTCAGTGTGGATCACACTGGATATTGCCAAACTTTTTCATCTAAATACGTAACGTTTTGGGAACGAAAATGTCCCTTGAAATAAACTGATAGTTTAATCTATGAATTTCAGTTCAATTGCAGGCCATGTTCTTTCCACAGCAATTGCCTATTCCTATATAACTATATGATCCCAGCATAAATCGTAAGTTCGATTAAGATACTCACGAAAAATTTCACTTTTATATAAAAGTGTTGACGGAAAACGCCGTGGTGCGCAAAAACAAAAACAAACAAAGGAAGAAATACCAATGAAAGATGACAATTTGAAAGATTGGAAGTGTCCCCAATGCGGAGAGATCTTAACTTCTGCCTCTCGCCTTGAACAACACCTAGAAAGTCATTTAGAAAACAAATACTAATTATTAAACATTATTAAACAGTCTTAAACCCTTCTAAACACTTGAAAATAATAGCGGAATTCAACATCAAAACTTTATCAAACATTATTAAACAGTCTTTAAAAACCTTCAAACATTTCAAAATAATAGCGGAATTCAACATCAAAACCTTATTAAACCTTATAGCATATATGATGAAATTGGCTCAACATTTCCCATGTAACCCTATAAGCAATTTCATACCCGGTTGCTTGAAATTTTGCATCTCTCTGGTATTTGTGAGCAGATTGCAGCCATTTCTCCACAGAAGTTGTGTATGTATAACATCCCCGTCTCCATCGTATCAAGTTTCGACCTAACATCTAATATAAATTAGGACATAATTTCTTCCTCATTTGTAGGCGGATCACCTCATTAACATCACATGTACAAATTCTAAATTTCTTTCTGATTTTTTCGCCAGTATCTTTGGGGTACTAAATGACTTAAAACTCCAATTTGAATGTTTAATGTGAGTTGTTCAAATGTAAGAATTCAAATTGCTGCAAGCGAGCATCTGCTGGATTTCTCGACAGTCAGTGAAATCGAGTTCACTATATATGAAAAACCAACGGACATAAAAAAAACTAATATACAAAAACTTTTTTTCCAATAGGTTTTATTTTTCTTTTAATTTTCTTGCATAAATAAACTAAGTTGTTGATTTAGTAAATTATACCAATTACATTGGAGAACAAAGTGAAAGCAAACTTAATTCTTACAGAGCAAAAATATTAAAAAAATAGAACCGTATACGCTTATTTTCTTTCTCTAAGAAGGAACAAATAATTCCCACAAGCGTTGAAATGCGTATGAATATTTTTATATTATTTCTTTTTGATTAGTCAACAGAAAATCTTCGAAATTACCGCTGAAACCTTGAACGGTCCAATTTAAAGATCCTGTCATTATAATACCAGGAATTTGATTGAAAATTGAGAGGAAAAATGATTCTTTGTTTTGCGAATTTATAATACATTTTTGTTACTTATATGCTTTACGACTTTTACCTTCATACGCACAAACCTACACATTATTGTTTTCATTTCTTTTAATATAATTCGAGAATATGTCGCAGATATTACCTTCTAAATAATAACTTGTTGAAGTGTAATAAACTTTTACATCCTTTTTTTAATACTAGCACGAATTTAAAACATATTCTTCCAACAATTTCAACATGTTTTACAAAACTTGCGTCAACACTGAGAATAACATTGTTTATTATTTTTGAAATAGGTGTAACTTCTCAACAATTTGCAAATCAGCTGTGTTTTTCTAATAAACGTTTGGTGTATCTCACACTTGTATCTAATTCAAATTAAAATGACCAAAATTTTGGTACGGAGAGTCCGAAGAATAAAATTGAATTCTCTCTATTATCTGTAGATGGTTTAGCTTATATTTTACGTAACTGCTATCCGAGGAACAAGACCCGAAAGTCTCTATTTACCCAGAATGAGTACATAAACCTTATTATTGCTTTCCAATCAAGCCCGGCTATGTCAATTTTCAGAAACAATTCTTATCCTGAAGCGTCGAATTAGAAAGGAAAGCAGCTGTAAAATGTATAGAAATAAAGCGTGCCAGTTGCAGAATGTACAGGAGTAAAGCGTGCCAGGTGCAGCATGTGTAAAAAAAAAGCGTGCCAGTTGCAGAATGTAAGGAAGTAAAGCGTGCGCTTTGCAGAATGTGTAAAAATAAAGCGTGCCAGTTGCAGAATGTGCAGAAGTAAAGCGTGCCAATTGCAGATAAAGCGTGCCAGTTGGAGAATGTGTAGAAATAAAGCGTGCCATTTGCAGAATGTACAGAAGTAAAGCG